AATCAACTCTTGAAAAGATACATAATTAAATAGGAAGAAAAGTATGAAGTTTTTTAAAATATTGTGCCGCCAAAAGTTAAGCCCACGTTTTTTTTATGAGCATAAAAAAATTTTCATTTCTAGTGATATTTTAAAGCCAAAAAGCCAAAAATCTCCGTAGATATACCTACAACTTACCCAAATATGGACTCTTTGAAACAGATACCGTCTGGACTATTAACAATCTTCGTAAAACACTTCGTAAACCTTCAGTTTTCTATTTTATTTTTATTTATTTATTCGTGCTTTAAGCTAACTTTACAGAATAATTATATAAAAGTAATTTTTTATTATTCTTACAAATTAATCTTTTTTAAATTTAGTTATTTCTTTCTGTTAACTTATTTACTAAAATTATTTTAAAAACCTATAATTTACAATGTAAAACAAGAATAATCAGTCATTATATTGCAATAAGTATTTTTTTGTGAATTCGTTGGTTTTCTACAAAGTTGTTGTTTTACAATGCCTAAAAAATATTTCTATTCCCCTAACACTGTGGCAGTGTCAACAATTAGTTTTTGGTCAGTTTGAACTGAATGGGATTGATTGATTTAGTACTTGTTTGCATTTCAACTTATAAATTAAAAACCAAAAATAAGTAAATGCCCTATTTAACCGAGACGCATCGTATCGAAATTTTAATGATGATCGGATATGAGGACAGAAGTTACTCAGACCAAAAACAAACTTCTGGGCTGGAATCATTGAGGATTGCATAGTAGGTAATGTATTTTTCAATGAAGATGTAACCGGACAAACATACCTAGCTGTGCTCCAAGATGAACTGGTTCCTGCTTTAACTGTTTTATGCCCATATGTTTAAACCTTTTTACTTTGAAACGTATTTTCATTTGTAATAGGTACAGTGAAAGAATTGCAGAGTACCCCACATTGCACAAAACCTCAGAAATTTAAAATTCTACGAAAAGTTTGGTCATCGCAAATACTTGTTATATTTGAAATCTTTTTCCTGCGAAAAACAGATCCCTTATTTACCTAGAACATTTCCTCACGCCACGCGGAAGCTCTGTTTGCCCGTCCAGGGCCGTACATATTACTTTTTTGCCGTTTGTCCCGACCGCAATAACTCCAGGAGAGAAATTGCGCCACGGCATCCGGACGCGCATAGTTCATACGCCCGTATAGATTTCCCCGAAATCTAATTTGTCGCAGGGATCGCAATAAGAGCTTCTTGTAACCGGTGCTGAGAACACTACACCGTTACGTTATTAAATTAATACGGGAACGTTTATCTTTTATCTACAAAAGCAGAGTGTCTTTTAATCACGTCATCCATTTGACAAGTTCTAAAGTTTGGAGATCTACCGGGAAATTGATTAAATAGCTATAAATAACGGTGGGGTTGTGGAATTCCCGGGGAGCATCAATTTATTCCCCAAACCCCACGGGCGTTTCAACAATATAGGATACATAGTGGCACAGTCGAAACTAAATTGAGAAGTTACTGAAATTTGACAGAAAATCTTCATGTTCACCAACGGTGATATAATAAATTAAATAAAAAGTTTTATAAGTTAGTTTGAGGCATATGGAAAGAATACAATATAAGCTAACAACACATGAACTATTAGCCCAGTTACTGCAGCTGAAAATATAGTAATACCTCCGAATTTTTTATAACTGTATCGATTTTTCTTCTCAAAATTTAGAATTAGGCTCATCTTACCCCCCACTTCAAAACTTATATATGCCTTAGTTGTGCTTTTTGTTCTTGAGGGGTGAAAACCATCCCTTATTGGAAAAAAAAGAAAAAATACAAATTTAAGCATTTTATCTAATCAAATCTTTTTTATTTATGCAGTATGAGTAATTTCATGTGCTATCTAACATGAAACTTAATGTATCCCAAATTTTCAACCCGGAAAAACCTTTAAAAACCACCCCTTTGAATGAAAATAATATAAAAAATTTTTTTTCAACTTGAAACGTTTTAATCATGCATTCTTATCAAATTGAAATTGATTTCTTGATTAAAAAATTTTTTTTATCGATTGCAACTTTTCAACCCTTGAAAAATACCCCTTCTTTCGAAAATAAAATGAAAAAATTTTATTGAAAGTGTAGAAACATTTTAAATGTGTACTCGTGTTAAATCAACATTTATTCCCTTCTGATAAAATAATTTTGAATCGATTGCAACTTTTCAACCCTTAAAAATTACCCTTTACATTTATTTATATATTTATATGTATTTTCTTAAAATTATCACCTATAAGATTTTTAATCGCACAAAGGCTCATTTTGCAGGGAATTGTAAGGGCTACGTGAACTGTTGAGTTGATCTTTTTTAAGCCCTTCATTTTTAAGTTTGAAGGGTTTAAAGGGCTCGAAAAGGGTGGTTCTCTCATTCATATGATAACTTAAAATGGCGATATCTCGATTAATATCAATTTTAGAGAAATAATAAAATGGGCAAAATCGTCAGCAAAAATAAAGCTAAATTTTTTTACTCTTGTATTTTTTTCGAACACCCTTTAATTTTTATGTTACAGCGTAAAAATCGATTCTTTTTTTCAAAAATTTGAAAAATTCACATTTCCAAAAATTAAGTTTTTTTTCGAAATCATGCTTTGTAAGTGAGCCAAAGACCCAGAACATATTCTTAGAATATAAATGAAGAAATTTGTAAATGGATTGCATTTAATTTTAATTCTATCGCCAAAGGCACTGATTTGTTTATTAATTTTTTCTTAAAAAAAATTAGACTATCATTTCGATCATATTTCCGTTAATTTTGATTCTAAAGACTTTTAAAACAGCTCATTTTAAAGGTTTTTCAAAGTACTTTAAAAAAGATGCAAATAGTTTTTTCCTAATATTTATGGTTTTGGCATTATTTAACGTTAACTGGTTCCAATTTAGTTTTTAGCTACATATAATAATGTTTAAAAATCCATAACTCGATTTATATTGTAATTAGAGAAAACCAAAATAATACCATTAGATTTGTTTTTTTATTACCTTTCTTTTTGTTCATTACAACTTTTTCGTTAAATCCAATCGTTTCAGAGTTATTTGCAAAAAACTGTGCGAAAACAAGCACTTTTTCAGTAAAAAATCAACATTTTCAATGACGAATTATTCCATTATCCAAAAAACTTTATAACATTATTTGTTACTTAAAATTGACTCCTCTATCGATTCCTGTGGTTATTTTGGGCGTAAAAATTTCCACCCCCAAGAAGGGGTGGGAACCACCCCCAGGGCAAAAGCACAAGTTTTGTTCCTTGAGGCATTCCCCACATTCAGTCAAAATTTCACGTCAATCGGTTCAGTTATAAAGAATTCGGAGGTAAAAACCCTGAGTAACTGGACTATAGGATTCCAGCAGCATCATTAATGACTGATCACAAACCCATCTAGCAAGTCCCGACAGACCCAATCTGCCAAGAAAAATGGAAACTGTTAAATCTAAGAATACTAGAACAAACAACTTATCTAATTATGCATTCCTTGAAAAAGTTATAATATCGTGACTGCATAATATGGACGTGGACACTCAGTTTTATGGATACTTGGTATTCACATAATTTTAAGTTTTTATGAAAACGTGACGACTGCTATAAATTAAACTAAGAGGAATAATATTTTTGGATTGATATTCTTTTAACGTAAGTTTAAGAAGAATTAAGTCCTCCCAGATTTTTTGGATGGTCCAGTAATAGACGGTGAAACGCTTTTGACGGAAATTAAAAAAAGTTAAGTTTGTTTAATTTTAAAATAAAAAAGAGTTAATATGCCTATGTGTAACATTTTCATTTATTCGAGGACTCGCCCAGTAGACGAACGAAGGTGAGAAATGATGTAATTCTGCAGGATAAACTTGTGAGGGATATAGTGTAGATAACCCCAATTTTTTACACTTGCATTTTCTAGGGAAAATCAATTCTAAATCCCACAATATATTTCTACTGTTTCGAGAAAATTACGAACATACTCATTCGTCAATGTGGAACATTATGTAAAATGCGCCTTTTTGTCATTTTGTTTTCGAGTAATAAAAATTACGCCTTGAATAAAAATATGATTAATACCATAGTGAACCAGATTATTTTCTATCTAGAGTTTTATATGAAATAAATTATTTTTAAATGACTTTACAGCATAATAACAAAAAAAATGTAGCACTAAAAACTCAGATAGTTTCTTGGAAACGTAATTCAATTATCATTAAGTCCATCAACGGTTACATCATAAACGTTTGAAACAAAGCAGCAACCTAAATACTTCTATAAAAACAAAAGTAACACTTTCAGATAATTTTTGAGAAATGTAGACACTTCTATATATTCATAGCGTAAATTTAAGTATCCAATATAAATTTTAATGAAACAATATACTGATATTAAAATGAATTGGCAGTTGTAACGACCCATGAAAAACTATAGCCGTAAAATGAAATGGGACACTTTTAATCAACTGAAATAAATTACTTCATGTCTCAAGAAACGAATATCTTTTCTGCCACTCCCAATTTGAGATAAACGAATTCATTACCTACACGAGTTTTAATATAGGTCAATGTCACAGCTTCGTTTCCTCAAGAAATTCAAATATCTAATGTGATTTCAAGGAACAGGACAAAAATTAAATAGTTTTAATGTTGGGAATATATTTTTTAGATTACACATTTTTCATTATGAGCTTTTTTACAAATCTAAACATTTTCTTAAAATTCTCATTAGATTAAATAGAAGCTATTTTTTCGTATTCTAAATATTCTTTTTCGTCTTCAACTGATGAGAAATTTAAAAAAATGTGCTAGAATTCATTCACCAATTCTTGATAAATGTTAGTGACAAATGTGACGATAATTCTTGATCTGTTTGTTTGTTTTTAGGCCTCCTTCTGTTATTTCAACCAGGATTCGGTCCCCAAGGTTCGTGGTATGATACATATCCACATAATAATTTGTTATTAACACACATGTTTTCTAGATTGCCACAGATTCCATCAATATCAAGGGCGAAGTCCCCTAGAAGGTAATGCTTATTTCTTAAATTTAATTAATGAATCAGGTGTAAATCACAAGCAATTTATCAAACGAAACAGCCAAGACAGGTTAATCATGCTTGAGAAGAACTGATCACTGAATTTAAACTTTTACTTAAAAGAAGTTCTGAGGAATTTGTATCGATTTTTCTATAACAATACTTCTGTTTTAAAATTAGATCAGTAAGAACTTACATAGAGAAAATATTGAATAGTAAAAATACGTGTTTTCTTTTATTAATGGTATCCTACTTCATAATACATTTGAATACATCTACTTGTTCGAAGCTAAATACACGAGTCAGAAATTCTTCAGTCCATTGCGATATAGTGAGAGAATTTGAACACTGACAGTTTTTCATGTCTCTCAGTTTTGAAACAAATTTATTACGTTCTAGTTTTCTATTTATTTAATTACATTAAAGGAGCAGATCAAGATTACCTAAATTGCCGTTACGCAATCCACCAATCCCTGGCCTGCAGCTTTATTGCACATTAAAAAAAAAGGTTAAACGTTGACTATGTGTAAACGTCACTTTAATTTTACAACTTTAAAGGATGGGCTAGAATGGTAGTGATATAGTGAGAGGATACGACAGAAATTCTAGCCAATTATAGCTTTGAAATAATGTATACGTCACTCTATTTTACCAAAAATATTTATTATGAAAAGTGTATTTAAAATTCTAATAGAAAAAAGGTAAAATTAAGATTAGTGTTACATATTTTTTTGCTTATCAATTTTACTGATGAAGTTTGGGTTACAATTATGTGAACCAGGAACGAGAGACACAATCAATAAGAGGCTCGAAACTTCGATGTAACTTATTATTTCGCAAATTCAACCATTGCATTTAATAATATCCACAGTATTTTTAAATACAATGTGATCATCAAAATATTTAACGTTTTAATAATTTATTTGTGTGAAACGAGCAGTTTTATTGTTATTAACCATTTATTCAAGTGCGTAAAAAGCTTATACAGTGCCATCATAAATGCCAGAATCCCACGTGACATCAGTGAAGTACACATTACAGTTCTTTACAAACATTGAACTTTTTAATTTGCAAAATATCTTTATCTTTTCAATAGGAAAGAATCACTTTTTACATTTTTACTTACAAAATAATCATGCTCGTTTAAGATATTTTGAATTTTTATCCCATTCTATATTGAAAAAATATTATTTTTTTTATTGAAAAAGGTTGTCATTTTAAAAATATAAACTCTTTTGTAATCCACTTTAATTCAAAGATAATGAAAATATTTTTAATAAAACACAAAAAGTTTCAATGGTTTATTTTTTTTTGTAATGTCTGAAACACCAGCTTTAAAAAATCGAGCGAAAAATAAAATCTGGTCACGTGGGACTGCAATTAGGCATCAAATAAACTTATCGTATTAAAAAAATTCTTTGTGACAGTCTCAACATTTCCGCTGTGTGACATAATTGTTTGGAATGAATTTGGATGAATTTATTACCGTTATTACTAATATCGCTAGTCCAAGTTCGTCCATAACTTTTTATTAAATACTTTCAAAATATATTTTCAATTCAAGAATCTATCTCTCTCTCTATCTATCTTCAAAGCCGTTTTCATTTCAAATACATATTTATTTATATTATTATATAAGGTAATAAATAATATGCTTATTTAATCACACATCCTTACGTTCAAAAATCACACATAAAAACAAAGTTGGCTTATAAACATGTGCCCACACTGTGTATTCTCATTTCTTATTTGACACCGACAAAAATATGGGAAGCAACTATGTTGCGTCAAAGTTTCCAAGCCGTCTCACTTGATCGTTTCTCCATCTGAAGAGTAATCTCGAATTAAATTCGCCACATTAAAACTCTATGTCTATTTAATGATCGTTCGCCCGAGCAGCGGGGACTTCATCAGTTATTCATGAGTTCTGTAAAGGAACTACACCGATCTGATTCATTGCAAAGATGACGTTGTGTCCTCTAACTGCAACTTTGTAAGTGAAAGCAGCCCCGAATTATCGAGTAGGCGGGGTCATTTGCTTTTGCAAAGAAAAACGCAATAATGGAACGCTCGAGTTTAAATATACTTAAATTACATCAATTATGTAGCCTGGAAATAAGACATAAAAAAAAAGAAAAAAATTGAATAGCCATCGCATCTGAAAAACAAATGAACCTTCACACATTCAATGTGCTTTTGCTCGTCAAATTGAGAGTGTAAAGTCTGTTTTATATTTACTAATTAATCGAGAAATTGGCCAAATTGGTACAACCAAGATTCAACAAATTAAATAATATTGAAGTATTTTACAGTTTGAGCGTTTTTTCTAACAAAAAAATTATAGATTTACTGCTACTTATTTTTAATGGTGTTCCTCAAATATTTGCTTAATGTTTTAAAGATCATTCCAATCGGTTTAACAGTATCTAAAAGCAAAAGCAATGTTACAATACTTGCAACAGGAACAAGATAAAATATACCCGAATGCAGTTTGATCTTGATATAGTACTTTAAATTCAAATAAGTTGTTTGTGCCCACGTTTAATTATGCAAAATTCTATTGTTAGAAGCAAACTTACAGTTAAATTAAAGCAAACCGAAGACAAATATGGTTGTTGTCAAACAAGAAATTTAGAAACGAACATCAACTTGACCTTTTTCTAATTAGTCCTTCGATTGTTGTTTTTCTCGGACGCATAGGGGCCTTTATTTTGTCTAAATTAATACCGCTATCATTTACCGCTGATTTATTTACATTAAACCATTAATTTCGTGCCCACTTGTGTTCGATAATAATTATATTAAACTCACTAATCTACATTACGCTTACAGTAAGCTATCATCATTAACATCAAGGATATCTAAAGCTAGGTAAGCATAACATAACAGCTAATAACAGTATTATGCCATTTGGATAATTAGAACCAGTTTCTGATTATTTGTTTTATTCCTATATTCTGCATGTCTAATAGGAGTCTCGCTCGTATGCCAGTATCTGGATCAAGGTCTCCCAAAAGGTAGCAATGATCTGTTTCAATGTATCCGCCTGAATTATGACATAATTTACTTGTAGAGGCAGAAACCATGAATCGCTGCGTTTGGTGGAACCGATATGTTGGAAATCGGGGTATGTGATACAGGGAAGAGAGAGAAGAGTTTCAAATTTTGGTTTGTTTCAGATCAACCACGCCTAAAAGCTGGATATAAAAATATATTAAATAGTTAGCGAAACAAAAAAGCATTTAAGAAATAAAAAGTTTTCATTTTGATACTGTAAATCTAAAAAAGACTNGTGATACAGGGAAGAGAGAGAAGAGTTTCAAATTTTGGTTTGTTTCAGATCAACCACGCCTAAAAGCTGGATATAAAAATATATTAAATAGTTAGGGAAACAAAGAAGCATTTAAGAAATAAAAAGTTTCCATTTTGATACTGTAAATCTAAAAAAGAGTCGAAAAGTTGAAAACAAACAATTTATTTGTTTTATTCAGTAGGTTTTATACAGAATTCCTAAACAGGACTGACAAACTCTACAAGGGCTTATGAGTTTATTAGCCATATATAAAAAAAGTCAATTTTATGAAACTATTTGTTTTAGTTCTCAAAACTAGGGATGACGTTTCTTGCTAGATGTTGAAACAAGTTATAACAAAATAAGTAAAATCTATATCACTGGCTATAAAAGCAAATAAAGAAATAAAATTTAAACTGTCAAATATTTTCCAAAATGAAACACACTACTCGTTTTGAGAACGAACAAAGAAATTTTTTTAAAGCATTAACTAACCGAAACGACAGCGCTAAAACTATGTCATATAACGAGAGTTCAAATAAAAACGTGGTCGAAGTTGGCTCTGACACATTGGACGTAGGGAGTAGCTTATAGCGACCAACTTAACCTCATTTCTCAACGAGCTGTATAGCTGCTGTCAGTTTCAATAACGTTAATGACTATATAACTTTATTTTAAAGAATAATCGTGATAACAATAACAAACGATTAAAGGAGCTGCGGAAAGTGTCCCCCTCCTTGTTCCAAGCACTTTTCACACCTGTTCCTCAAAGAATTAAAGACATTTTCTAAGATGCTCGGGGTATTGTTAATTTCACGAATCTTGTCTATAAGTCGAGCCTGCAGATGGTTTAAATCAGGAATAGGCAGTTCAAAAATAGTGTTTTTAAGGTAAAGCCACAAAAATAAATCACACGGCGTAATATCACATGACCTCGGTGGAAATTCATGTTCAGCATTGAGACTTATTAGTCGATTTTGGAAAACTTCCCTCAACATATTCATCGTCTCGCCTGCCGTATGTGCCCTTGCGCCATCTTGTTGAAAGTAAAAGTTTGTAATTTCGTTTTCTTCCAGCTGGTTAACAAAAGGAGCGATAATTTCTTCTCTATACCTTTGCGCAGTAAGAGTACCATTAAAAAAAAATAGGTCCATAGATTCTCCTTCGATTGAGAGCACACCAAACTCCAATCTTTTGAGCGTGTAGAGGGCCCTCGACAAAAAAGTTATCTGGTTTTTCAGAAGACCACATTTTCATATTCCGTGAGTTTACGTAACCACTTAAATGAAACCAGGCTTCATCAGAAAAAAAAGGTGATATTATGAAGTTCACCGTAGTTGTTTAAAAACCATTCACAAAATACAGCCCGTCGCGGAAAATCAACTTCATGAAGTTCTTGCTGACAAGTTAAACGATAGGAGAACAAACGCAAATCTTTTTTTAACACTGTGTGGCAGGTATACCGACTGATACTCCCACCATTTGTGATCAAACACGTACAGAAGTTCTTGGCGCATTTTCCATTATTTGTTGGACATTTTCTTTTAATTCTTCAGTCCGCTTTTTAGGTCGGCCGCTTCCTTCTTTTCTTGTTACACTGCCCGTTTCACGAAAAACATTAACACAACGCTGAACTGCACTTTGAAAAATTTTGTACTCAACAACGCCGGGAAATTGATTTTGAAATTCTATGAAACATTCCTCAATAGAATACTTCCATATTCCATCAATCGTCCATTTTTAAAGTAGGACTCTATGATAAACACTTTTTGTTCTCGAGAAAACGCCATTTTAAACGCTTTTTAAAACGAAAATATTCAAATTGATAGCGGCGATATAGCGCTTTGACAGATGACGTTTAAGTTCATTTGCTATACGCTACGTCCTACGTCCAAATTTTCAGAACCAACTTGACCACGTTTTTATTTGAACGCTCGTTATAAATTTCTCTAGACAATGCGTCTACAAGGTTCTTCTTGATTAAAAACAAAACAAAAAATTCTAATGACCTAGAGACAAAAAACATTTTCTTTATCAAAATGGCTATAATGTACTGAATTTCACTCTACTCATATTTATGTGACTCAGTATTGATGCCTCATGGTACTATTTCTGTTAATTTTAAACATCCTGTAAAGTTTGACATTCGAATTAAGAAATATAATAATATTTAATTAATTTAATTGTATTGCTTATTATAAATGCATTGTAATATTATGACTACCGATATTGTTTCTCTGGGATTTGTATTCAAGACCGATGTAAATATAAATACAAAATCTCACGCAAGTAAAGATTTATTTAGGCATTTCCTCGACACTTTTGATTTATCCCAGACCCCTTACAAAAATTCGAAGATTAATAGCAGCGTATCGGCAGCCGGTAGAAAAACTTTGCTCGACTAATAGACGAGATGTTTGTTCGTTTTCTGATAATCTGTCATCATACGAATTGAATTAACGAAGGATTCGATTGCTGGCTCTCAGAGTCTGCAGTCTATTAAAAAATGCTGAACATTTGTACTGGTCTGTTTTTTGCGTTAAGAGTTCAAGAAAGGTCTAGTGTGATAAATGTCAGAAGTATGTAAAAAGATAGTGGTACAAATGTTGAAGAACGTATGTTTTTACTTACATATAAAACAACATAATCTAGATACATATCACAAAAACTTCCACTCTTTTTATTTAAAAATAAAACAAGCCAATAACAATCAATCTATCTGAGGAATTTTTCCGTTATTCTAAGGAAATTTTGCATCAAAATTACCTGTTTTGTAGTATGTGTAAATGAATTTGAATTTGAAGATAAAACAAAATTATGTTTTATACCATTCAAAGCATAGAAATATATCAAGTCATCTTTGAGTAGGTACATCTACTAATTTATAAAAATTATGAAGTTTAAAAAAAAATGTATAATAGTTTTGAAGACAGAAAACATGGCCGTTACATATTGCCTCACAACATTGAATAATTAACTTTATAGACTTGAGGAAAGAAGACCTTTCTGCCCTACAACGATGATAGTAGAACAAAAATACAAGTTAATTCTTCGAATGAAAACATTATTTAACAATTAAAATAGAGAATAGAGTAAAAAATAGAAGAACTAATAATAGAATGCATGCTTTTTAGAAAGAAACCTTGTTTATTAATGAAGTAATATTTAGTCTCATGTTGACCGGCTGCAAGTAATTTACACCAATTTATTTTTAATATGCGGCTATAAAAAACAACCTTACATTCGGAGTGAGCGAATTGCGACACCCAATCGCCATGCCCTTTTAAGTTCGGTGAATAACCTGACATTTTAAAAACTGCAACGCGATGTCCAGTCTCATTTTATTTGGGTTTCTAGCAGCGGCATCGACACTGCAACTATCAGCGGCCTGTCGAAGTTTATGATTAATATCACGCCCCAGGGAGACAGTAATCATGGCTGAAATATTCATATAATCAGGCTTGAAGCTCCGCGTGGTTGAAATTTTGTATTAATTCAAAAAAAAATCAATACGCTTCTAAAAGATATCGAAAAACGTGCTTTGTCTATGTTGCTTTATTGATGAATCAATAAATCATCTTTTAAATCGATATGACTTTTGTTTAGGATTAAAAATTATGTCCCCCTCTTCTTGACATTAGAAAAAAAAGATAAAAATATATTTTTCTGCCAAAACTACAACAAATTTGAGGTTTTACGATGATTCAGATATGTATTTACAAACACCATTGATTGACGTATCAGTTGAACAAGGTCTTCTTAACCCAGACCTCTCATTGAGCGAAAGTGGATCACAGTTGCCACCCAAATGCGTCCATATCTTAATTCGAACAATTTCACGCTTTTACTAAAAAAATGACCATCAAATTTTTTAGAAGTCTCAGATAAGAATCTAGATGTAAAGCAAATTATACGTGAGAGATCTGAAACGGGAACAAATATCTTGAAGCGAATTGTACATTCATAATTAACAATAAATTTAATTACATTACCGCATGTCCATTTGTTTAAAGATCCGATTGCAAAAAAAGGAATGTATTACTACACGAATATCTGAGAGTTTTCTTCGGATTTATTATCAACTGCAAACTGTGTTGAAATTGGATTGTATATGTTAAATTGGTAGTGAACATTAGCTTGCGCAATAGCACCATATATCTGAAACAATGACCGGCGAGAATATATTGTTTGGGCTTGTTCTCTACTCATTTGAGATAAGCCCAACGTTGAAAACGTTTACGAAATAGATTCGCATGCTTACTTAATTTCAGGAACAACTTACTGGAACTTAATAATACAATCGGTGGACTAGTTTATTGACATTTCTATTAACTTGGAACTGTTAGCGTTAATAACGCGACGATTGGATTAAATTTAACTAATTTTAAACCAACTTGTAATTTCTTTAACAGTTCCAGTTTAATGTAACCCAAATGGTAGCATAAAATATTGGACAATTTAGAGCAACTGTTTTGCATGGATTAATTTCGCTACAGTTCTGAATCAGAATAATTAGCGTATTTTCAACTTTGTGTTGTCTTACTGAACGCACATAATTTGGCCTCAGAGAAAGAGTAGCTGCTTGCGCAATGTTTTCTGAGATTTCTTTGTAAATGACATAAGAATAGAATAATCAAAAGATGCGTGAAAATCTCAACTATCTGTTTCGGCTTCGATCAGATGCTTTGGTATCTCTTTCTGATGATCTCTGGTTGTCATTCATCGTGCCGAGAGACTGGAGGAACAGTGGAGTGTGAAATATTATCTAAACCGATTTTGATTGGGATTTCAAATACAAAAATTTACTAAATTTACTAAAAGGTACTATCACTAAGAAGATTACATTATTTAAAATTGCAATACACAAATATTCAAAATACTCAGCCGTAATAAAATTCATTTTCCACCTTTATTTAGTTAAATCAATAGTTTAAGTTTCTTCAGCATGTGTCAACCATCTTCAGAAATGTTTACCTACGCACGTGTTATATTTTCCAAAAAAATTTTTATTTACTGATATCCATTCAATAATTTCACTACGCCACTGTTTCTTTATCGATACTCAAATATTTTCGTCAAGGAAAACCTCTTACATCATAATTGAAGTAAATAATGGAAAAACACTTTCCATGATTAATTGGCCCAATACCTTACAGGTAAACAAACACAGTAGCCATTCAAAAATATGCAAATGTGACTTAAAAAATTGATGATAAAGTGATACAGCACAAAAGAAAGCATATCGCCAACGTTTATCTGGTGGGTATTAACATTCTTGGCTGAAAAGAATCTAGAACAAACAGCACGATGATTAATCGAGATTTAAGCTCACCTAATGCGTTATGCAATGTTGAATTGGATGATTAGCCGGCCACACCTTGTATAAAATTAATGCATTGACACGTATCTAGCGCCTTGCGCAACGTGGCGAGATATGGATCAGATGTACAGTTTTTTGTAGAGATTTTAAAACAACTGAAATGATACAAGTTTCGTTGAAAGCTGTTGGAACTGAAAGCAATGTTACTTTATTAGAAAAAAAACGAAAACAACAAGTTCAATCCTTTGATTACTTAAAAATCTCTGCTAGGCTTTAAGCAAAAAGTAGTACAAAATTTTTTTTATATGTGACCTACATAAGAATGCTACATTTTTAGACAGACAGATTAAACTGACGTATTATTTTCACTATTAAATACAATTTTTATAGAAATTTAGTATTGATTTTAAGTGTAGATATACAGGGTAGGAAAGTACCGATGGTCTATCTGAAGTTACGTGAGAGCGATAAAGTAAGCCATAGAAATCCATGCGATAGAGAAGGATGGCTATAATGAAGGCGTCTCTTAGTCACCGCCCGTTTCGCCCTTCCACAAATAAGATCCACTTCTTATTCTGCAGGGTACTCCATAAACATTCAATTCAAGAACTGACAAGATAGCGATATACGGGGTGTTTGTAAATAAGTGCGAAATATTTTAGGGGGTGGTGGAAGTGATTTTGTGAAAAAAAGTTCATATAAACTTAGGTCGAAATATGCTTCGTTTCCGAGGTACAGAGTGTTTAAATTTTAATTTTTTATTTACTTTTATTAATTATTTCAGAGTTTTAAAGATATTAACCCGAAATTTGATTTGTTGTATTTTATTTAGAAATATTGACAACAAGCTACTAGATAATACATATATCAATAGAAATTAAAAATACATAACTTGTACTAAAATATGTTTTATTTTATTTTTTCAAAATAATGTACAGGGTGATTCACTATATTTTGACACCCCCTTTAACTTGTTTGTTTTAAGAGTTATTTAAAAAATGTGAACTACAAAAGTTGCATGATTTTTTATGAATTTTTCGAAAATTCTTAAAACAAAAAAGTTAAAGGGGGGGTAAAAATATTTCAAATCTGTCAAAATGTTTGTTGATTTTTGTTTCTTATCAAGAACAACTAGATTTTATAAAATTTAAAAAAAAAATTATTGAATTTTTTTAATTTTATGAGTTATTCTTCAAATAAAACTGACGTGTTTGTAATTTTATCCTGTATCTGTTACTGTCAAGATCCAATATGGCGCCCAAAAGAAATTAAATTGCATAACTGAAAGAACTGTAGAAATTTCCTTTCGACGAAAATGGATTCCTTTATTATTCATTTGATCCTTTTCACTGTTTATGTCTGTTAGGAAAATAAATAAGACAGATGTGTTTTTACAAAATAACGCGGCATAGGCCTAAAAAGACTCATGAATAACGTAAATCAACTCTTCCCGAAGGTCCAAATGATCCGAAACTTCTGATTCAAACACCGCGCGAATTTATTCCGCCACCCTTAATTCCAAAAGCAATACCTCCATTCCATACGAAATTAGGGGCTCATAAACACCTAGAAGTTCCCCGGACACAATCTCTCCTCGGCCGAAGTTTCCCTTTAAGAAGGAACAATGGCCATTAGCGTAAATCGGGCCTAAATTATGCAACGGTCTTCGGCGAGCAAGCAGGAGCGCTAACCTAGACCTTCGAGGAAAGCGAAAGTGGATCGCACACCTTATGAGCTGACAATGGCCGCCGAATGGTATAAAATTAGAATCACATTTCGTTTCGGCATCAGTTCATTGCACACCAGAACGCACATCACCGTACCTACTACAATGGCATACAAAGTAAGGCAAATAATAGTATTCTGTAATTAGATTTTGAATAAGTGATTGAAAGCAACACCATATGACGTTAGAAAAGTGTAGACTTTTTGTGATTTAAAAAATAATTTTCAGAAAAAATAATCAAGTATGGTACTCCGACTTTTTTTAAATTTTTGTAGATTTGTTCCATAACAAATTCAATAAAATAGTAATTTTTTATTTGCAAAAAAGTATCAAGAAGCGTCGACAACAACAAACATTTTGACGTCACATTGTAATTTGCGAACGATTTTATTATTTTTGTTTGATAGATTGTTTAATTGTCAAATTGACAAAAAAATTTTAGAATTAGACTTTTTGAAAAAGTGAAAAACATAAAAATCCAAAAAATTATGTGTTCAACAAAATTACAATGTCATTGATTCAATTCAAATTGAGCAACCGCCGTCTAAAAAAATCTTTAACGTCATCTATATAGTGTCAAAATGTTTGTTGTCAATCAAAATCAACGTGTCTTGTTGTTCAAAAAAAATTGCTACTGTTTTATTGAATTTGTTCGATAATTTAACTGGTCACTGTATTCGCCTTAATAATTTCTCTGTAACTGCACTGTTGTCATTTTGTTATTAATAAGATATAATTTAAATTTTGATAGAAGAAAAGTAAATCGACAATTAAATTAAAATCGAACAAAAACTAAAACAATTAAAGTGTTAATAGTCCTCAGTGAAAGAGCCCGTATGAAGAACATTTTTTTAAACATATATTTTCAATTTTTATTTATTCCAATTTAATTTAAATTTAATAGTTCCAAATGATAGAAAGCTGGGCATCCATATGAAATAAAAAGTTCTATCTAGAAAAAAAAATAGTATAGCAAATAAATTACATATTTTATTCTTGAAATAAGAAAAACTGAGATTAAAAAGATATTCAAAAAAGAGCATACTACATTTAAAACATATAACACATTCAAATACTTATTTTATTATGATGTTTTTCTAACTATATCTTTTTTAATCTCAGTGGCGGAGTTATTGGGAGTCGTTCTAACTGAGAACCCTAGAAATTCCACACCCAAAATATTTTGAAAATTCTATGTCTACTAGCAACTACTCGTAGTGTGTCCTAGAAAAATTATATCTTTCATTTTATTATTTATTTTTATTATTTATTTTATTATTAATATTTTATTTATATTACTATTTTTTATCTTTCGTTAAAATTACTAAACACTTCACAATATATTTTTTTTTCATTTAGAATTGCCTACAGTGGTTTGCCAACGTATTTAACTTACACCCATAGTTGTTGCACTATTTTTACTCAAGTTTTGAATATGGTTACAAATTTTAATCCATCGAAGTAATAATACACAGATACGCTGCTCTATATATAAATTTTAAACACTAACATTATTACGAATTAGGGGATTTTATAACAGGACCATACCACTAAAGACTAAAGCATTATTATTAATAAAAACGTATTTACTTTCAGTTCATCGCATTCGCTTCTCTCCTGGCCTGCGCCAATGCCGGAGTCATCGGCGCACCCGCCGCAGTAGCGACATACTCCGCCGCCCCAGCAGTAAGCAGTTCCTACTTCCACCAAGCCACCGCTCCAGTAGCCATAACCAAAGCCGTGGCACCAGTCGTATCAAGTTACGCCGCCCCTGTAGGCTATGCTGCCCATGCTGCACCTTTAAGTTACGCTCACGCTGCCCCCGTTGTCTCCTCTTACTCTGCCCCTGTAGTCACCAAGTCCTACGCCGCTCCTGTAGTATCTAGCTACTCTAGCCCGGTAGTCACCTCCTACTCGAGCCCTGTAATCGCGAAGTCCTACGGCGCTCCTGTGGTATCTAGCTACTCCAGCCCTGTAGTCACCTCATACTCAAGCCCTGTAATCGCCAAGTCCTACGGCGCTCCTGTGGTATCTAGCTACTCCAGCCCTGTAGTCACCTCATACTCAAGCCCTGTAATCGCCAAGTCCTACGGCGCTCCAGTGGTGTCTAGCTACACCGCGCATGCTCCACTCGTTTCTTCCTACGCCTCCCCTTATGTGACCAAGGCCGTCGCCCCCGTGGCTACCTATGCCGCTCACGCCGCCCCCGTTGTCTCAGCCTACTCTTCCCCTGTAGTGGCTGCTCATAGTGGTCCAGTCGTAGCTCATGCTTCCTTCTCTGGACTTGGAGCCTCTTACCAGTGGTAAATGTTGATGTGATGTGTTATTTATTGATTATTTATTGTGAGTGTTTTCATAATATAAAATAAATTACTATTATATAAATTTTGTGGTTTTATTTTTGTGTCGAACATACATACATTCAATAGCACCAGTTTAAAAAAAAATCAATAGAAACAGAAGAAACACTGTACTTTATAAAATAGCAGTATCGTATCGTATCGTCTTCTGATAAAAAAATAAGAAGGAAAAATGAATTTTATATTGAAGGTTAAGGAAAGTCTGTAGAATTCATGAGAAGACATTTATTTTAGGACGTCTAAACAATTAATTACATTATTGATAAAAATTTTGAATAGTGGAGACCCAAGAACAGATCCCTGTGGGACTCCAGTAAGCTTGAATTGAATTTCAAATTACTAGCTTTAGGTATGCAAAAATTATAAAATTATCAATTAGTGAAACTTACAGAACTACAAAACTAAAAGAGACAGGGTGCTAATGACTTAAAGACAAGTCCATTTTAAAGATTTTTTAAAGTACTTTAAAAAATGTACTGTGCATTTTTCTTGAAAAATACATTTTATGTTAAATGCTTCCAGTTTAGTTTCTGGCGGACATGAAATTATATTTAACCAGACGAATCTCAGCAACTATTGCACCTACCTACAAAAATGAAAAAAAAACTCGATCCTTTTCTTTTTCTATAAGCCTCATTTTCTTCGAGATGTTTTTTTTCATAGAATGTCTAATTTTCGAGTTATTCGAGAANTACGCCTCCCCTTATGTGACCAAGGCCGTCGCCCCCGTGGCTACCTATGCCGCTCACGCCGCCCCCGTTGTCTCAGCCTACTCTTCCCCTGTAGTGGCTGCTCATAGTGGTCCAGTCGTAGCTCATGCTTCCTTCTCTGGACTTGGAGCCTCTTACCAGTGGTAAATGTTGATGTGATGTGTTATTTATTGATTATTTATTGTGAGTGTTTTCATAATATAAAATAAATTACTATTATATAAATTTTGTGGTTTTATTTTTGTGTCGAACATACATACATTCAATAGCACCAGTTTAAAAAAAAATCAATAGAAACAGAAGAAACACTGTACTTTATAAAATAGCAGTATCGTATCGTATCGTCTTCTGATAAAAAAATAAGAAGGAAAAATGAATTTTATATTGAAGGTTAAGGAAAGTCTGTAGAATTCATGAGAAGACATTTATTTTAGGACGTCTAAACAATTAATTACATTATTGATAAAAATTTTGAATAGTAGAGACCGAAGAACAGAACCCTGTAAGTAAGCTTGAATTGAATTTCAAATTACTAGCTTTAGGTATGCAAAAATTATAAAATTATCAATTAGTGAAACTTACAGAACTACAAAACTAAAAGAGACAGGGTGCTAATGACTTAAAGACAAGTCCATTTTAAAGATTTTTTAAAGTACTTTAAAAAATGTACTGTGCATTTTTCTTGAAAAATACATTTTATGTTAAATGCTTCCAGTTTAGTTTCTGGCGGACATGAAATTATATTCAACCAGACGAATCTCAGCAACTATTGCACCTACCTACAAAAATGAAAAAAAAACTCGATCCTTTTCTTTTTCTATAAGCCTCATTTTCTTCGAGATGTTTTTTTTTTTCATAGAATGTCTAATTTCCGAGTTATTCGAGAAAAACGTCTTGTGTTCAATAAAAAATGTACATTTTCAATCACCAATAACTAAATATTGATTTATCAAAAAATGTTCATATTACTTTTTGTTTAAAAATTGATTGTTTTATCGATTCCTGGGGTTATTTCCAATATTTTATTTTTCACCCCCTTGGCAAAAACGCTCATCGGCACTGTATAACTTTTGTTTCTTCAGCTATTTTCTACTTACACTACGGTTCTATCCCAAAGAATTCGGCGGGGAAACCGTTGGTTCCCTGGACTACCAATACAATGTCAAATTTTAACTCGGAACCTAGGATCAAAAAATTTTTCTAGATGTCCTTGCCAGTTATTTGAGGTCAATCTCATTTTTTACAAAAAAATAATGGATATATAACTAACATAATTTAAAAGACGTATTCAACTAGGACTATTAGTATGATCTTCACAACAATTTTGAAATTTAGCACATCGTTAGGTTAGTAATTAAAATTTGATGATAGGAGCATTATTGAGACCAAATCTAATCAGTCGTTAGATCAAATCCAGATCACAGTCTAATATGCATTTCAAAATCCAAGAAACTTTGCTTCAAACAATTTTATCGAGTTTCAGTTGAACAAAAAAATTTTCTGGCACTATATCAAGACGTAAAATATGGCCTTTGTCAATTGCTGGCATAAAGAATTTAATATTTTCAAGTTGGCCTTGATTTGTCCTTGAAATTTAGGGACGAAATCAGATCCAAGGTCACCAGAATATTGGTTTCTTAATATCCTATGACTTTTTTATTTTATTTTTTGATAGTAATCAACTCTGTAAAGTTATCGAAAGGTTCGTGACATTGGTATAAAGCGACACTGAATATAAGAAAGATAAAAAAACAGTGGATGTTTTACATGGGAAACTTTTTTTTACTGTAAATTTATGAGAATATATTATCATTCCTATGTAAAATTGTCTGCTGTTAAAAATACCATTTCCCTGATTTTAAGTCGTTATATTTTTTTTAGATTACCAACAAAGTACACCAATTTTTTAAAATATCGAAATATATCACTAAGAAATACTATTAGCAATTCCAATTGTTAGGATGTTTTAAGTTTTAGAGAAAATTACTTCATAATGTTAGAATTATGTATGTTTTCCAAAATTCTGTAGGAAGTACCAAGACAACGTTATTTTTTTTAATTTTATCTTTTCTTATCGAAGAAGTCGCGACCTAGAATCAATGGATTTTAATCGAAAATTATTATATATAGAATTTGTTCGATAATTTAACTGGTCACTGTATTCGCCTTAATAATTGATATGCCGACANATTTTCACATTGGGATGCTATATATATATATATAATTACGATAAGTCTCCAAATAGATATGAAATGAGGTATCTAAATAGATTAAAACCATATTCACTACAGGGGTCCAACATAACGATATTTCTTAGAGATAGTTTGCGGCATATCAAAAAAATTGTATAGGTATTACTTGTGCCCAGTTTTAATTTTTGGATTTTAATTGTACACTATACATAAAATTTTGACCAAGTGAGATTTTTACGAATTTAAGAGCAAACAGGAAATTTTGTAACGACATTTTCTCTTTTCTCATATCACTTGGATTGTAATGAAGGACACGTACATTCGACAAATATTTCTTCATTTCACAGTATTTTGACATCTTACGTAAAGGATTTAACAAATTTATTTGAATCACGTTTGTTGTTGTCATGTAAAAGGAAGAACCAATAAATAAAATAGCAGTAACTGGGAGTTATAAAAATATTTTTAAAACAAATAAGATTTTAACTTCGCCATCTTTATTAATTTATTAACTTTGTACATATTTTGTAATAAAATTCACTTTATTAAATAGGGACTGTTAATAGAAATTCTGCATTTCATATACCTTGAAATACGATTGAATATAATTGATCTAAGATATTGCAACTATTTAACACTTCAAGAAAAAATATGTAACAGACACATATTTTTTCTAGCTTGATGAATACTTAATATACTTAATTTAAAAGTCGTTTAAGGTTACTTATGCACTATTGCTCAAAATGTGCTATTTTTATCGTAATACATGACAAACGCCAAGAGATCTGCTTCTGGCCATCATAAAAATTTTGCAATTATACGACTCTTATACTGACAAAACGCACTCGACAATTTCGTCAGTTCATTTACTTAACCTCTTCTTAGGAAAGAATGCCTAATATGTACTCGTATGTACCTAGTCCATTTGTCACAGCAATTAAACATTAGTTATGCACGTTGATACAAATTCGATGCTTTTTCCTTGATTCCCAAAACGATGTACTACCATGACCTCAACCCTCTGCAGCGAAAGCGCCCGCCACTGTTTAGGACTCCACTGTTGGCTATAAAAATCGAGCAAAGCTCGAAGTCTGTATCAGTCTTCACTAAGAAACCATAATTTTATATTACTGTTTAGATGAAGTGAGGTGCAGATCTAGAATTTATAAAAAGGATATGTTGATACTTCTCTAAAAAAAACGTAATTTTTGTGGAAAATGTAAACTTTGAGGGTATATTTTTGTAGTTGTTTTATTAAATGCAACGAATTGAAGCACCAAATTGACTTTCTAACGAACGAATTGGATTTGCATTTAAATGCATTAAAATATGTTTGCAACAATTAAACTTCAAGTAAACAGAGTTTTCGTAAAATAACATTTATTTAGCTAGACATTTGTACCACTCACTATATCAATTCATTCATTTTGAGTCTTGAAAAAATCTTTTTTGTTCTTAATATGTAGACCAATGATTGAAAGGTTGACCAAGTGTGATTCTAAGAATAATTGTCTAAATAAATAAGACAAAAATGTCTATAAACACCCTAACAATGTTATTACACAATTAATGTTATCCTCTCCTACCTAATTTAAGATTATAATAATTGTACATTATTTTTAAATTTTCTTATCTTTCAGTTCGTCATCCTCGCCACCGCCTTGGCTTGGGCTAATGCTGGAATCCTGAGCAGCCCCGCCATTGCATCTTACTCAGCACCCATCGCTGCTGCCCCCCTGGTTTCCTCATATTCCGCCCCTCTGGTTTCCTCATACTCCGCCCCGCTGGTTACCAAATCCATTGCTCCAGTGGTATCCGCTCCAGTCGTGTCTTCTTACACAGCCCCATTGATCTCATCTCCAGTGGTCTCTTCATACGGTGCCCCTGTGGTGTCCTCCTACTCCGCGCCGCTCGTAGCCAAACCTTTTGCCACTCCAGTAGTGTCTTCTTACTCTGCGCCTCTTGTGACCAAATCCTTTGCTCCATCGGTCGTCTCCGGCTATGCTGCTGCCGCCCCAGTCATCTCCTCATACTCTGCACCCGTCATCTCTAAGTCCATCTGGTAAATGTCGTCATGACGTTCATTGTGTATTTATTTAGTATAAAATAAAGATGTTTACATTAATTATTGGTTTTTATATTTTATTTTCAAATTCGAAAGATACGAATAATTTTGATTCTGAACAACTTTTCCTAACGAATGTTTTACGAAAAAGTCAATTTACCTTCATTAAAAAAGCTTACTCAAGTTTTCAGAAATAGAAAGAAACGTTACACAATAATTTATTAACAAAACATAAGGATTTTCGAAAATAAGTATAAAATTTCCATTAATAAATTGTTTATCCGGTGGTTGACGATATGGAGACACCCTGTAGAGAACACTTTTTAGAAACGTCTAGAGAACAACATTGTATATTTTATCTCAAAATTTTATTTTATTCCTATAAACGCGATCAGATTTTTTTAACAAGAATGACATTTTTTAAATGAAAAAAGTTTTCTCTTATTTCAAGTCCACACGTAGACGCACAATATGTACTTCTTTTTCTATTCATACTCATAGTATATGTACAGGGTTATTCATATAACATTTTACCCCCCGTAACTTTTTTATTTTTTAAGTTAGACAAGAATAGTTGAGATAAATGTTGTAGGGAATATTTCTGTGAGTTTAATGAGTTTATGAATATAGAAATTGTACAGGGCGTTCCAAAGATACGCATCAAACTTATGTTTTTTTAAAGGAACACCCTGTATATTATTCGATTTTCGTAATGTGTGCTTAAGCAAGAAAATCGAATAATATACAGGGTGTTCCATTTAAAAAAAAAAAACATAAGTTTGGTGCGTTTCTTTGGAACGGCCTGTATAATTTCTATTTTCATAAACTCATTAAACTCAGAAATATTCCCTACAACTTTTATTTTAACTATTTTTGTCTAAGTCAAAAAATAAAAAAGTTAAGGAGGGTAAAATGTTATATGAATAACCCTGTACAAATCCTTTTGCTTTTGGCATTGGTTTTACTTAAATACAATTTAATGCAAGGTTGAGATTTGCGCATTTAACCCAAATTTGCTATCAAAAAACATATTTATCACTTATTTTAAATTTAAATTTATTTAAAAAACATCACTTAGACATTGAAAAAGGGCTGCAGAAATACTTCAATTTTTTTTAGTATGTGAACATTAAAGAAAAATACACTATAACTTTATTCCAACAACTTTTTGAAAACATGACATTAATAATTATATATTTCAGCAGTAAAAGTGTTGCAAAGTTCACAAATTAATCAAGTAGGTGCAATATATTTTATGTATTTATGATTGCGCCAATTTGAGGACTACATTCCTATATAGAGATAATTACCGTAATATATAATCGGAAACACCGTCAATAATTCAGTAAAAAGTTATAGATATGTCTAATTAAGAATTTTTAAAGTTTAAATGACCTACTTGCGATTTTAATGGGAATCCGTCGTTTTTATCAGTAGTTTTACATCGTGGATTAACATAACAACCTCAGCCTAGGTTTTGACCTTACCTTAGGATATTCGAAACAATTTATTTACCATGATAATAGTTTATTGTATAAGTCCAAACAGAATTTGTCTAGTTACGTGGTATAAAAATATTCGTCGATTACATTTTTTATTTTCACAGCTTATGTATATCACTATTACGTTTCAATTCTTCTTCTCTTCAATTCACTCGATTGTGATTCACTTTCTTCTTCTGCCATGGTTTCGTTTCCTATATTTTCCACGCAATCAACTTCATTTTCCACATAATTTGTTTCATTAATGAGTGATTCAAACGCGTCAAAAGAATCGTGGTCTAATTGGATGTTTGGAGTTTCAAAATTTTCACATTGGGATGCATCACAATGTAAACAAACACTTGTACATTACAAAAAATGTGAAATTAAAAAATGCAATCGACGAATATTTTTATAGGTACCATGTAATTTCTGCACGATAATTAAATAAATATTTTGTAGTACTTTTATAATAAAAATGTATAATTACCATAAAACTTACTTACTTTATTTCATAAACAATTATTAAATAATTATTGAAATGTTAACAATCCAGAAGGTCGTAGAACGTTTTTTTTTTTGTTAAATTCGCGTAAAAATGCCAGCAATCGATTTTTGTAACAGACATTATCGATAAATGAAAGTCGAAAAAGATATTTAAAAAAACACGACCAAAAAATGTTTACTTTTTTCAGTCATTTTTGGACACTTGAAATGAATAAAATCATTATCACTCACTCTTTTTTACCATGAAAGCACAACTACTAAGGAAAAAATTGAGCCCTGATTCGTTTCTCTACGACTATTCTTCGAGCAAGAAGGGCTGATTTTCCAGATGACCTTCGATATAACTCGAAAAATTTTAATATTTTGTAATTTAAGAACAAGGCACTTTTTTGCTTGCAGAGAGATACATTTACAGCAAGTAACAAGTTTCATAACCTTAATTTGCAAGAGATACAGCAAAAACAAAAAAAAACGATTACTTTTTACGGTCATTTCGATATATCTCGAAAAGCAATATTTAATATACGAATTGATAGGTTTTTTTTAATAGCTACAACTTTATCATTTAACTTTTTTCAATTGGAGTTTTTTATTATTTGCGAAAAACCGTTTTTTAACTTTTATTCGCCGTTTATGCACCACAGGAAAAAACACTATCTTAGAAATTTTTTTCCTATATCACCATATTTTTTGTTTCCAGCTGCTATTTTTTGTAAGCTCTTCTACCTACTGATTGAACTACATAGCATTTTGATTGATGCCTTTACCTCAAAATTCATTTTGGACTTAGTGATTTTATATACGTACCTTTTTAGAAAGTTTATCTATTTTGTATGTGTGATAAGCTTATTACAAATAATGTAATACAAGTTTTGTCAATTATCTTCTTTTATAATAACATAATTTAATTAAAATCTAAACGCCAAAATATTTGTCAAATTAATCAAATGTCAAATCGCCATTTAGCTGCCAATTGGCCAAGATTTTATTAAGATATAATAAATGTCAAAGTAACTGTATATTATACAAAGAAAAAGACCTAGATGGCCAAATAGTACGAAAACCAAAACAATCAACATATTATAATACATCAAGTATCGCAAGCTTTCGTGGTAGTTAATAGTTGAAAAATTTCCAAGCAGGTGCAGACTGAGAATTTCAAAGTCTTTTTCTGGAGAAAAAAGCGATCTCTTGTAAAGAGAGTGGTTTGTCTCCCGAAACGCCAAAAGTTGCGAAGAACCCGACGTGGCAATCGGTTCGACCGGAAATTGTTCAATAATTTGTTAGTAAAAGATTATATTTTTTAAATTTTAGGTTTTGGCGTTTTGGTCAGTAGAGAAAAACTAGTTTTTACAGTTTAAAAGTTTTATTTATTGAAATAAATAAATTAAACAATTATATACAGGACAAAGAAGCCAACATTTACCAAACTGGGGCTACAGACTTGGCAATAACAGGTGCAGCATAAGAGGAAACAAGTGGAGCTGGGTGGCTGCTGTAGGCATTCACGATGGACTTGGAGTACAAGTTGGAGGAATATCCTGCAACGACTGGTGCGTGAGCGGCGTAAGTAGACACTACTGGAGCAGCCAAAGACTTAGCTACCACTGGGGCGGAGTATGATGACACAATAGGAGACGAGTACGAAGACACTAAAGGAGCAGAGTAGCTAGAAATCAAGGGGGAAGCTACTGGTGCGATTGACTTGGTTACCACTGGAGAGGAGTAGCTGGAGATCACTGGGGCAGCTCCGTATGAGGAGATAGCGGGGGCTCCGTATGAGGAGATAGGGGGGGCTCCGTATGAGGAGATCGCGGGGGCTCCGTATGAGGAGATCAAGGGGGAGCCGTATGAGATCACGGGGGAGCCGTGGCTGGTGTAGGTGTTCACAATGGACTTGGAGAGGACTGGTGCAGAGTAGCCAGAGACCAGTGGTGAAGAGTAGGCTGATACAACTGGAGCTGCAGCTGCGTAGCTGCTGACCACTGGACCGGCAGAATATGATGCTACGGCAGGGGCACCCAGGAGGCCAGCGTTGGCGTAAGCCAAGGCAGCGGTGAGGACAATGATCTAAAAGAAAAGAGATAGTTAAAAAAAGAGCAATTAGTAATTTTCATATTGAAGAAGGCAGAAAGGCAATTTTTACTAAAGCTACGAATTTAAATATTACAAATGTAAATTTTTCTGTACAACTGCTCTTAAAAATTGTTCCTGTTCTGTAAATATTATACCTACAATAATTTAATTTTTTTATTAAAAATGTAAATGTAAAAAAATTGCACAATCATGAGATAATTGTTAACACGATTAACAAGTTATGACAACATCCTGAACAGGGTAGTTTTTCATGTTAAAATATTTATTGGCTATATTAATAAAAATATCTTACTTTGGAGAACATGGTTGTGCTGGCTTCTTTGGGTTTCAAGAAACTGATGGTGTTGTGTGATTTTGGTGGATTTTTATAGTGGTGTGCTGCTACCAGAAGTCCACTTTCCCTCTCCTGCTCGAAGGTCTAGGTTGCGGCATCTACTGTAAATCCTTTTTAAACCAGTTAGTGTAAAAGATAGAGCAGCCGCCACGGTTTGATTTAGTCGGTATAATTCTTTACAAATTTGGACACGACATGCCTATTCAAAGTCCGAGAACTTGTAAATTATCTAGAATATTTGAAATACACGTTAATATCATTAAGGTAATATCTCTAAACCGCTTATTATATCACAAGAATTACCATATTATGCAGTAAATAATAGTTGTTTAACAGATTTTAATAACAATATAATATCATTGATTACAGTTTTGGATGGAAATCGGAAACTATTAGAGATAGATAAGAGCTATTGGAGATATTTTCGAGCCTTTATTTTCCTAGCCTATTTTCAAGACAATCAGCTGTCAAATCAGAAATTTAATACCTTCATTTATTTTAAAGTTACAGGGCGATAATAATTTTTTGCATTTCTAATAATCTTTGCTTCTAAATGAGTTAGAATTAAGATAAATCCTAGAATATGATCATATTAGTTTTTTAAATACCTTATATTTAGGAGGTCTTAATACAAATTTATACATTTTAAAATGGGAGTTAGAAAAGCACATATTTTGTTGCATCTCAATAATTACATTATATTTTTTTCTGCAGATATAGTATAAAGTCCGACGAATTCTTTTTTATTATCTTAACACAATTTCGTAATTATGTTTCCAAACTTACGCTCATATATTAAGAATTTACTAAACAAAACTTGTTATTCTTGAGACTTAAAGAAGGAAAGGTGATACTATAAAATCGATCAAGACTGACAACACTTGAATATAACAAGCAGTAAAGATGAAACTGTAAATAGCTTTAACATGACTGAAATTTCAATACCTGCTACGTGAAAGCGAAAGCTACTTTAAGTTACAACGTAAATCTTACCTCTTTATTGCTATAAATAGTTGCAGTAGGGTATTATTAATTGTAGGTCTCTAAGAACATTTTATTTAACGTTGCATCCCCCCAAAAAAAAGTATTAAATGAATATAATTCTTCAGAAAATAGATTAGTCATTCCGATAAATTATGTTACTGTATGCTATGCTATTAATATTTATCTAGTCCTTATTTATAATGCCTCAAGCGCTGTGTCTAAGTTGGAGTTGTACCAATGATTTTATACAAAAAAAAACAGAAAAGAAACATTTATGTATAAAATATATTTATTTAGAAACATTAGTAAAATGCAAAAATGTTTTTGTGTTAGTTTTTTACTTATATCTTGGAACTTATGCATTGCATTTTGGAAGAATATTTAAGAGGAAAAAAGTTTTAGAATTGAATTTTGCATAGTATGCTATAAGTTAAAAATGTTTAAATTTATTACCGATGTTGCAAAATAGCAATAATTGATGAAAAAAAGGCAAAATAATCAAGTTTTTTTGATAATCTTTTTTAAATATTTTAATTGCTCCGAGGGCATTCTAATTTCGGTAAAAAAAACTTTAGAGTATAATAAAACAACACACTAAATTGCATTAAAATCGGTTCTGTAGTTTTCGCAAAATAATTTTTTAAAGAAAATTTTTCGAATTTTCAAAATTTTGCACAGCTTCAAATAAAGTATCTAGATACTTAAAAAATTTTTTACATACTAGAAAAGACCGCTCAACGTTTCAAATGGTTTTTGAAAAATTGAAATCGGTTGATTAGTGCGGCCACAGTAAATTTTTAAAGTTAACACTCTTTTTTTATTTTTAAATAATTAGATTACATTTATCAATTTGTAATTTAGTTTTTTTCAAAAATTATAATTTTGAAGTACTATTTAACCGATTTTAATTAAATATGATGTGTTGTTTTATTATACTCTAAAGTTTTTTTTACCAAAATTATAATGCCCTCGGAGCAATTAAAATATTTTTTAAAAATTATCCAAAAAACTTGATTATTTTCCCTTTTTTTTATCAATTATTGCTATTTTGCAACATCGGTAATAAATTTAAACATTTTTAACTGACAGTATATTGTGCAAAATTCAATTCTAAAACTTTTTTCCTCTTCAATATTCTTTCAAAATGCATAGGTTCCAAGATATAAGTAAAAAACTCATATAAAATAGGTATTTTTTTAAATTTTTTAAACATTTTTGCAATTTTGAAAATGTTCCGGACCTCGCCCAGATCTAGGAATCTACACTTTTATTATGTGAGTTGTACTGAAGATAATCCAGAAAAAATTTACTTGCCCCCTCCCACATCCAGCTCAAAACAGATCCGCCCTGGTTTATTAGTAGAAAAGCCGGATATTATTGGCAGAGCACCCCTCGACGACCCTTGCGGGACGCCTAATATTTCACTCCGGTTTTGAATTTTTGTGTAAGAACGGTAGGAATACCACGAAATTCGAGCTTGTTCAGTTTACATATCATGTGTATGATACAATTTGGTATTGTAGACTTTGATCAGTTATCCTGCAAATATTTGACATTTGTTTCATCAATGTTTGGTGAATGACCGCAGCATCTTGACATACGAATAGAAGTGCAAGTTCAACTGTATGACCCACATTTGTGCTGCCAATTCAATAATGGCATACAAAACTGATCATAAAGTCAGTTTAAGCTTTTTTTAAATTTTTAAGTAGTATTTAACTTTACTATCAATAACCCTAGAATCTAATAATTTCAAAAATATTATTTGTTATCATTAACTTCGTAAAAGATTATTGTTTTAATAAAGGCAAGGCGAAAACTTTCTTTTAAATGCAATAACACACATGTTTGTATCCAGTTTTGAGAATCACAGATTTATTTTTATATTCGTGAAGTCCATACTAAAGTGATCAAAGATTTTTCTGTACTTCCCAAGACTGTGATCTGCTGTTAAGAGTTCAGCTCTGATTCAACATTGGGAGTGTATTGTCAAAAGAAAAAAATCATGTTTCATGAACTTATAGTTTATTGTCAACCAATAAATAATATCAGACTATATACAAGGCAGTCATTTCTGCCTTTACCAGGCGTAGGAAGCTCCAAGTCCGGTGAAGGAAGCATGAGACACAACGGCAGCTGGGGAATAAGCGACAGCGGTCTTGGATACTACAGGGGCGGCAGAGTAGGCAGACACAACTGGGGCAGCATGAGCAGCATAGGTTGAGACCACTGGAGAGTGGGCTGCGTAGGTTGAGACCACTGGAGAGTGGGCTGCGTAGGTTGAGACCACTGGAGAGTGGGCTGCGTAGGTTGAGACCACTGGAGAGTGAGCAGCATAGGTTGATACAACTGGGCCATGAGCAGCGTAAGTTGACACCACTGGAGCGTGAGCCACAGCTGGGGCAGCGTATTGGGTAAATACTGGGGCAACAGCCTTAGTTACCACAGGGGCAGCATGGGCTACAGCAAGAGGGGCAGCGTACCTAAGACCATCGTTGGTGATACGGGTGTCGAATTTCCTCACGCTGGAAAAGGCACTGTCCACGGCTTTGGAGTAGTGAGATACAGACTGGGCGCCTCCTAGTGAGCGTTCTACGCTTTGGTGGGAAGCGCCGATAGCTGGGGCGTGAACTGCGACTGGAGCAGCTGCGTAAGTGGAGACTACAGGGGCGGCATGGGCCAAAGCGACTGGGGCTGAAGCTTGTTGGAAGTACGAGGTGCTCACGGCTGGAGCTGCAGAATACGTTGCGACAGCTGGGGCGCCGATGATGCCAGCGTTGGCGTAGGCGAGAACAGCTGCGAGTACGACGAACTGAAAAAAAAAGAGTATTTTAACTAATTGTAAAACTAAAGACAATGCCGTATGACATTATTTATCTCTGAAATTAACTAAATAAGTAAAATTCAAAATCCAAGAGTTAATAAGAAAGTACTTATATTAAAAAATATATGAAGTTACAAATGATGGCATACAAATTATTTTTCAATTATTAGAACTATTTGTATAAACTATTCTGCAATATAAATTGACAATATTTTAGATACTTTGCAGTTTCCAGTAATGTTAATTAAGGCTATGTAGCCATATTTCTTTAACAAGAAAAAATGATTGAGTAATTTTAATGTGCAGTACTTACTTTGAAAGCCATTGTAGTATGTTGATCTTTAGTTTGTGAGAAACTGATGCATTGCCGTACAATTGGGCGAATTTTATAGTTGCCAAATTGCGTAAAGGAGCCTCAGGTGTGATCCACTTTCATTGTCAATGAAGGTCTCGGTTAGGGCGGCTCCGGCTCCTCCACGTCTCTTGTGCTCGTTTCAGACACGGGCCCACATATTTTTCATAATCGACACGTTATGGTATAATCACAGCCCATGCTAATAGACCTGATTATAAAACACTTCGGTATGAATGGCATAATCGTATTTGATTAGGACTTGATGGATTGCTACACCATCAGATTATTTTTATTTCAGCAAAATAGTCTGTACCTGTGCGAAGATAATCGATTGGGATCCCCATAAATTCGTACACTTCGAAAAGAAATGTGGAATATCTTTAGCTGTTTCGTGCCGACAATTTATTCGACAATACATGAATTTATTGATGAACTTTTTCGTGGGTTTATTCACAAGAAAGTTTTGTTTGTAGTGAAAAAATGTATGTATTCCTTTGAACCCTAGGTAGGTATATATTTTTAGGAATAACCAATACAAAGGTAAATACTTTTTGTGTTATCTAAAATCTAAAGTAGCTAAAAAGCCAGCCATACAGGGACGGATGATTTATATAACAACAGTATATATTTACTTAAAACAATTGAACATCAAAGCATAACACAGCCCCACAAAAAAAAAATGAAATTATTTTCTCCGATATCTGAGGAGGTGCACTTTATGTTTTTGGGGTTGCTGAATCCGAATCCGGGGTCCGTTTAACCCCATCACGTCAGGGTCAAGGGCATCTGAAGGTCAAATTGCGGAATGACTATTAAAAAATCTGGAAAAAATTATATATATATGTTTTCGGAGTCGCTAAATCTGAATCTGAGGTTCTCTTGACCTTGAAGTGTCAGAATCAAGGTCAAATAAAGGTCAAATCCCTAAAATTTGATGATATGATATTTTTGACCCCGGATTCCGAAACAGCAGAAAATTTTACATCCGAATACGTATTTACCACAAACATAACAGAAATGATATGGGGTTTTTGGATTGTCATGCTCATGTCTATGGGTTCTACTACTTGTAGCTTTATACTCTGGTGAGACCTCAACAGAGCCGCGGTCACATCGTAGGACAAAAACTCAAGAGGGCAAAAAAAACATTGGCGTACCACTTTTCTCTTTAAAAATATTAAAGTCAGGGCTCGTACGCACGCCAATGTTCGAGCTAAAAATTATGTTTGTATCTATTGAAAAACTATCACTAAAATATCTCAAGCTGTTTCGAAAATATCAATTAATTTCCTTCTTTTTAATTTCTGTTTCTTCTTCTTCGTTTAAATTTTATCACCCTGTATTTTCGCAACGGAACATTTTTGGACCAGCGTTTATAAAGCAAACTATCATTAACTTTCCATGTAGCATATCATTAAGGAACACCCTGTATACATTAGCTACAAAACCCTTTGTATTCTACAACGTAACAAATGTTCAGTTCTCCCTAATTTTTCATTTTTTCCGGAAATTTTCTAGAACCCAAGATGAGCCGCTTGGTATATTGGGTCCCTCACGATCGCAAGTTAACGAACCTGGCCAGTCCGACTAAGCTCTATCCATTAAGGATTTAAATTTAAAATAATCCGACTGCTCCAGTTATGACATAAACTTATTAAGAAAACACCCTGTATATTACGAAATATTTATTGTAGGTATTTCCAAAAACAAAGACAGATTACAACAGTTGTTTTGCCCCCTTGGATAACAAGTTTGCGATTGGCCTAGATTTATGAACAACACAGGCTATTCAGGTTGTCACTTTGGCAATGCAGACAAGATTATCCAGTTCTTAATCAGATATTTTTAACCTATTTTGTACAGGTTCCGTCGATTACCTCAATGTCACTGTCTGATCGTGAGACAATAAGTACCTATAATATACGAGGTATTTTATTTATCTTTATCTCGCAAAAATATACTCGTTTTAAAAAATAATCTACTTAATGATTTAAAGCCAAACAGAAATTAGAGCAACTGACTTCTCTAGAAGGAAACATTATCTTAACCAAAATATTTATTTAATGTTTACTTATCTGAACACAAACATACCTCTAGACTCTACATAGGTATTTTTTTAAGTATAGTCTTTGTTTATGAAGTTGTTAATACAATACTTTTAATTTACCGCCTAGTACACAACTTATAACAAAAGATAAACATTTTATTTATACAAGAGGGGACAAATTAGTGTAAGAAATATAGGGTGTTTCTTTATGTTGTTCTATAAGTGTTTTGTTTATGGAAATATTTGATTTTTGCGATAAGGATTTTTTCAGTTTTTTACAAAGAATCCTGCGTAAAATTACCTTTAAACGATGATGCATTATATTTACATAAGAAATTAATTCAAGAAAAAAATGTCTGTGTAAATATCAAGTATACCATTTAGGACAAACTTTGCCACTAGATTTTACGAAGAAAATTATTGGAGAAAAGTCATATACAATGTTGCTTATAAATGCTTCGAGATACAGGGTATTGAAGTTGAAAAAAAATAATTTTCATTAATATTTTTCGACTACTCCGAGCTAATTTCGTGAAATTTCATATCCGAGGTTTTTTGGGATGAGAAATTCGAATTTATAGACGATTTCGTTATATCTTCTAGAGGGCGCCACAAGCAACCATTAGGACGCATTTAAACTGCCAAAATTTTTTTGTGCCACGGTCTATTTCGCTTTGGGCTGGAAAAATATTTTCCCCCAACTTTTCGGCTTAAAAAATGTCTACTAATATTTCTAAAGCCAACAGTTTTCAACAAAGAGGCATCTATTTTTGTAAATGTATAAAAAAAATTGTTTAAAAGTACATTGTTTAGATTGTGTTAGATCCATTAGACTGTTTTTAGACAGTATTTTTTACTCCGTCAATTCTGTTTGTAGTAAAATTGTTAAATAAACAAAATTTAAACTTGTAATTGCACTGTTTTCTTCAAAGGCACCCATATTTCTTTATAATAAACGATTGCTCCTAATTTCGTTTATCATTGTTGAAAATTACTTTTAAACGAATTTTTTATGCATTTACAAATTTAAATGCGTCCTATTGGTGGCTTGTGGCGCCCTCTAGAAGATACAACGAAATCGTGGATAAATTCGAATTTCTCATCCTAAACAACCCCCCGTGTACGAAATTTCACGAAATTAGCTCGAAATAGTCGAAAGATATTAAAGAAAATGTTATTTTTGTTTCAATTTTAACACCCTGTATATAGAAAACTTATCGTTTACGAACAATATTATATATGACTTTTCCCCATTAATCTTTATCGTAGAATATTGTAGAACATCGCAGATAACGACCCAAATTAGAAAGTGTAGGTATCTGTATCTCTTAAACGAATCGAGATATAGAGATGCGGTTTTTGCCATTCAACCTTTCCCGAAATCCAACCCGTGATTACACATTCAGGAAATACCCCCCTTAAAATTTATGGCACGTACACAATCTGACACTTGCATGACAAATAACAAAATATTTGATTTAGCTCATCTGCTTGTCTATTTTTAATTTCTGCGTGATAGAAACATACTAATCATAAAGATAAGATTAGATTAACTACTGAGAACCCAGTAACGACCAAAGTTTTATCTGCCATTTATTATCACCCCACAATTACAATCCGACAAACAAAACTCAAGTCCACATATTCAAAGGGCGTTATTTTGTGAATTATGGATTACCCGCGACCACCAGATCCAAATTATCCATCAGCCCCGACGTCAGAAATGTGCTGGATGCCAGTTCCACCAATGCAACCACCAATTCAGCCGCTGATACAACCTACACCTATGCCGCCACCCTTGCCGCCACCAATACAACCCCCAGATAATCCATGGATGCAAGATTATCCACCGCCGCCGCCGCCAGATGGGCCTTGGAACCGTCCGCCTCAAGAGTGGTCTCCCGGTTATCCTCCTCATCCCGAATGGCAGCCCCACTACGCTCCAGCTGGGGGGCCTCCGCAATGGGTACCGCCAAATTGGGGATCAGGATACCCCCCAAGTGGGCCATGGGCTCCTCCTTATTCATCAGGTAGATTTTACATTATTATTATTTGCGTTATTTTAAGATTCCATCAATAATCCAAGTGTGTCTATGTGGACAGGTACTTAAGGGCTAATTCTGCTAGTAAGAATTCTCTCACATAAAATTTGATCAGAACTAACCAGTGGCGTCGGGATTAAAGGTAGGACCTCTCAAACTTGTCTATAGCACGCCAAAAGTCGATAAATTTTTAAAATCAAATAGAAATTTGTATAAAGAGGTAGTAGGTTATATCTTTTCTACATCCAGAATTCTAATGTTATTCATATCAAGTCTATTACAATTTATCAACAATCGTATAACGGAATAGAGGATAATGCAGGAAAATTTTATTTTTGAAGCAATATTTGGCATCATTATGAAAATTTAAAAAGTGTCTAAGCTAACTGATATAAAATAAGTTAATATATATTTCATTTTTGCAAAATTATTGAACCTTCATATTTTTTAGCTTGGAATTCCTAACATATAGGCCTTTTCATCAATACTTTTTTAATGCGTATGCGTCAATATCGGTCATCTTTTTGTACTTTTTTTTTTGTAAACGTATATTCACTTTTAATTAATTATCTAACACATCATACATTAATTTTTTCATATTAATACATCAATATATACGATCATATAATAAAGAATTTCATGTTTTGCCTCAAATGTCATCGTCCGTGTAACATAATAAATGCCCGATAAGTATGAGATCCGGTGCTATGCTCAGAAGGCGAGTTTAACTGAAACTGAATTACAATAATTATTCATTTTAATTGTATTTAATTTTAATTATTGTTTGCATAGTAGGAATACGGATGCCTAACCTCTCAATCAATTCTCAGTACGAAACTTGAATTCCGTTGAATATCCTACTTGGCAACAGTGCATCGTCGTTACAACCTCGGCGGTGTTTAAAATTTAAATATCTAAACTTGAGAATTATATCGAATTTTGTCTGCATTCTGGGTTTATCATAATATTAATGTTATTTGAAATAAATATAAGCTGAAAAAAAGTCGTACCTATAATCAGGGATCGAAACCGCTACCTTCGGTGTGAAAGGACGACGCGCAATGCTTTGCACCACGAAAGCCATTGTACTTAATCATTCAAGTTAGAGCTTATAATATAGAACCAGCTTTTTAATTGTTCACAATAGAGTTGTTGACTAAATTTCAAAAAGTAGATAATATAATTCTACACATACTAACTAGTTTGTATACACAGTTAGAGATTGAGAAATGCGTCAGAACAGTTTTAAAATAATTATTTAAAACTGATTTTTTTTATAACATTTCAAAGCGGTTGTGACGTCATAAGGGGCACCTTGTAGTGAAATTATGTGTAAATGATTGCGTAAGGAAAAAAAATTGGAAGGAGACTGTCAGTAGTGTCAGTCTGTCAATGACACTGTCGTATAAAATATTTTCAAGTCTTGAGTTATTTTCCTTAATCTTCAAATTACTTTATTAAAAGTAAAATTATTATTCAGAAATAATAACTACCGAAAATTGATATTTTTATGATCGTGAATTGAATTTTTAAAAAGAGACGAGCGTTTTAATATTTGCGAAATCAGAGGTATAAAAGCAGTCAGGTAAGGAACAACATAGGTATTTAATTAATGATTTTATTGTATTTATTTATATAAAATACCTATTTATTTATGGAAATTTATGGTGCAGTTCGGGAGTCTTATGGAGATAATGCAATTGGCTGTATTAAATGGAATGTGGAAAAAACACAACTTAAATTTAGTTGAATCCATTACAATCAGGAAATTAATAATAACTATCACAAATACTCTTAATTGATAGACTGCTGTCACTAGTGTCACTTTTGTTTAAAAAACAGGAAACAGGGCAGCAGGGTTTGATAGACAATTTTGACATATTTTTTTCAAAATTATGCAATAGGATCGCTACTAGCTTCTTGTAGTTCTTGTTCAATGACGTCACACTAGTTTTTAAGTAACGCAAAAATTCATAAATGATTTCTACCACTAATTTTGTCATATATTTAAAATTTGACTATACGGGTTAGATTTCATAAAAAATCTTTGACTTAACAACAATAGGCTTTTTTTCGCGAGTGAATATTGGTGACTACGTCTGACTTGTAGTTACTGTTTCTATCTCTTTTAATCTTATTTCTAACCTTGTCTAACCTGAACAGATCGCGAAAATGTATATATTCACTATTCACTTCTCAGTGGTGCATCTTGTCATATGTACTTTGACGACTTTGACATATGGGTTCTAACTTCTAACCAGTAACCATAATTTGTCATCCTTTATTGCTTCCAGTAATCAAGTGTTGTGGGAATTGGTGTTATCACACTATATAATATATGTATTTGCTTCAAATAAAACTGAAGGAATATATCAATGCTTTCTTTGGAATATTTTTAAGTGGCAAATTTAAAAAACGTGAAAAGTATGTAGATTCTGATGTTGCAAGATATGCGAATATTCGACATAATCGTTATCGTAAGAGAATGGAATTTGGTCATTTATGTCAATGGCTACAAAACAGAAATTGTGACATGGCTCTATATTTTTTGATATTTTTGTGGAATGAGGATGATGATNCATTTCAGAGGCGTATTTGAACAATATTAAATGTGTAGCTTTTTTAAATGCTTCCGATGTTGTTTTGTGACATTTTTATTTGTACGATGAATGGCAAAATTCGTAATCCATATTAGAAACTTTTTTCAGTGGCTTCTCAGAAAGAAAGAAATTCTTGGTAAAAGTTGCCGCATCCCCAAACTAGAAATGCATATTTATTTTTTTTTAATATACAATAACTTTTTATTTCGAATTAAGTCATTCACAATACAAATAAAAATATCACAAAAGAGTATTAGAGATATTTAAAAAAATACTCACACTATTTATACTATTTCAAAAACGCTTTTGAAATGAAAATGATCTAAAGTTGAGAGCATTATGAGAACAATATGGTAATAAAATTATTATGTTACTCAAACATTTCTGAAAATATACTGAAACGTAAAACAAAAATATCGAGGGCATAAATGAAACATAAAAAGAATGTTACTGAAACCAATTTTTTGAAACGTTTCATTGGAAACGTATTTTGGGGAGGACATCATGGGCTTCTAGAACGTTACCAGAACGTTGCATGGATTTTTTATGAAACGTTTGAAGAAAAATGGAAACGTTTCTGAAACATGTCAGAAACTGAAAAATGTTTAGTGGGAAAATACCTATTTATTTATGGAAATTTATAGTGCAGTTCGGGAGTCTTATGGAGATAATGCAATTGGCTATATTATATGGAATGTGGAACAAAACACCACTTAAATTTTGTTGAATCCATTACAATCAGGAAATGAATAGTAACTATCACAAATACTCTTAATTGATAGACTGCTGTCACTAGTGTCACATTTGTTTAAAAAACAGAAAACAGGGCAGCAGGGTTTGATGGACAATTTTGACATATTTTTTTCAAAATTGTGCAATAGGATCGGTACTAGCTTCTTGTAGTTCTTGTTCAATGACGTCAGACTAGTTTTTAACTTTTTAAGTAACGCAAAAATTCATAAATGATTTCTACCACTAATTTTGTCATATATTTAAAATTTGACTATACAGGTTCTTTTATATAAAATCTTTGACTTAACAACAATTTGTATATGGTTTGTTTTTATAGTGGCAGATCGTGAAAAGGCCTCTAAAAATTAGTGTATATAAAAATTAAGTAGCTTTGTTTCCAAAGCAATCCAAAACATTTTTCAACAGTCAGAAGTCAGAAGCATGCGCATTCCGATACGATACGTACATACATATGTTCAAAATTCATTGTTTCGAATCAAATGCGATTGCGTCCAGAGTTGCCACATATGACGATTTATCGCCATTGTGGTGATACAACGCAGTCGAATGGCTGTTAAAAAATAATTGTGGCGACTGGTGTTTGATTTATTAGGCCAATCATTATAGCTTTTTTTCGGGAAAAAAATACTATTAGAAGTTTTTCTGCGGAATATTTTTCAGAAACGTGTTATAAACAAAATATCAAAAAATCAACTCGATACTAGTTGGGAAACTTTATTTAAACAATGGTCAAAGTTATGAAAAAGTGGTTTTTTAACTCGCGTAAAAAAACTATTCATAGCGAAAAGAGGTTTATACAAAAAAGGTAGGTATTAAATAAACCTTTAAAATGAGACAAGTCCGATTAAATTCCGTTAATTTGTTTATGCGCAAGAGCTCAAAAATGGTCGAAATTGTCCGCTTTTTTCAATTGCTAATAATTAATGTAATTTTCATCGCAGACACTTGTAATTCAGGATTTTTTTAAGCTTTTTGCACCCTTAATAAGTGGTAAAAATTTCAGCCCAAAAACTTCATTAGCTTGGCGTTGGCGGAATTTGTTATCTAAGAAGATGCTATTTTCAATTCATTTTTCCCAAGCTCACAGGCGTTGTAGGGTTTCGATCATTAGTTGTTTTTGTACCTAAATAGTTGTATTGACATATGCATTTACTGATAATTTAATTTTTCAAATTTAATTTGTTTAAAAATGACTGAAAAAATGTTAATATTTATTACATCGTTAAGCGCGCATGCTAAGCCTCGCCTTCCCCACTCGTTCGCTAGACCAAGTAATAGAACGCATCGCCGCTATCTTCTTTTTCGAAATTAAATAGTTGAATTCACCTTAATGTTAATGTAGGACATGAAAATATAGCTCTTAATGTATACTCTCTCCAAATTTCGGCTCTTAATATTAATAATTAAGGTCACTGCGATTAAATAAATAAAAAAAATTATCTCAGCTTCTAATCAACTTACAACAACGATTTTTTTTTAAATTCGAAGAAAACTAAAGTAAAGAGGTTACTATTTTATTTTATAATAATTACCTATCTTAACAATTTAATAAATATTAACATTTTTTCAATCAATTTTAAACAAATTAAATTTGAAAAACTAAATTCTCAGTAAATGCCTATGTCAATACAACTATTTAGGTACAAAAACAACTAATGATCAAAACCCTACAACGCCTGTGAGCTTGGGAAAAATGAATTGAAAATAGCATCTTCTTAGATAACAAATTCCGCCAACGCCAAACCAATGAAGCTTTCGAGCTGAAATTTTTACCACTTATTAAGGGTGTAAAAAGCCTCAAAAATCCTGAATTACAAGTGTCTGCGATGAAAATTGCATTAATTATTAGCAATTGAAAAAAACGGCAATTTTCGACCATTTTTGAGCTCTTGTGCATAAACAAATTATCGGAATTTAATCGGACTTTTTTCATTTTATAGGCTTATTTAATACCTACCTTTTTTGTATAAACTTTTTTTCGCTATGAATAATAGCTTTTTTACGTGAGTCAAAAAACCACTTTTCCATAACTTTGACCACTGTTAAAACAAAGTTTCCCAACTAGCCTCGAGTTGATTTTTTGATATTTTATTTATAACAGGTTTCCGAACAATATTCCACAGAGAAACTTCTAATAGCATTTTTTTCCCGAAACAGGCTCTTTCATGTCTATAATGGCTGGGCTATATGGTTAGATGGTAATAATAATTTGCATAAAGTGTTACTAGTTTAGGCTTAATTATAAAATTTCTATTTCGTATCTCTGCGTTAAAAAATATTTTCTCTACACTCCAATTTATATTTCGTTGATAGTTGATTGATAATTGATAGTTAATACTTATGATATGTATGGTTTTTAAATATTCTTTCAGAACGTTGTGTCATCCAAAATAATTTTTTAACGTCAACTTTTATTTCAAATAGATGACTTTTTGAATACTATATTTCCATCTTCTGCGAATAATAGATAAAATTTGTCTGACAAGTGACAACCCCTAATTTGAGTCTGACGATCAAAAACCGTTTCTAATGCACAAGGAACAAAATGCATAAATTCGCTGATAAAAAAATTTCTCGCATTCCGGAAACAATTTATACAAGTCACATTAAATAAAATGCAAATTTACGATTTTAAAACGCATTTTAAATCATTAGCTGATGAGAAACAGCTTCATTCCTAATGCGTTAGAAACAGTCTATAAAAGTCGGATGCAGTCGCATTTGATTCGAAACGCGCACCATTATCATTGCAGGAACAGTGACGTCGGATGGGCCTGGGTCCAGCGGGACTATCGCTCTTTACGTACGTCATCGCTGTAGGCCCATAGACCGCGTAGAAATAGGCTATTCGCCCGTCATCCCGGGCTTTTTGCTGTTAAATTCCTTAAAAACCATATACAGTTGATTTAAAAAAAAATGTTCTTATTAAATATATATTGTTCTATTTCATTTTTTTCGATTTTTTCTAAAAATAATTGAATGTCTGAATCTAATTGTGTTGCACCAAAAAACTTTTCATTAAGATTTTTGTTTTTAATAATAATTATCTTTATAAGAAGATTAAAACACCATGTTATCAATATTTTCATTTATCTACCTACCTATCATTTATTATTGTTTATTATTTAAAAAAAAAGATAAAAGATGAACATCGCTGAACTTATTATTTGTCATATTTCAAAAAAATATATTAAACACTAATGGAATATTTTTAAAAATGTATGTTTTGCTTCATTTAAATTTCATATTTGTTTTTTTTTCTTAGATCCGCCTCCATACATTCAGCCCAGAAGAAACAGTCCTCCCTTCTCAGGGATACCACCACCACCCCCCTAAAAATACATACAGAGACTTATGGATCCCCTAGCTGCACATTAGACCTCTGTATTTTTGATGATTTTACTGAAATATAACATGTATATTAATTTTTATTCTTAATTACTGAACTTAAATAGTAGAATTCTAAAAACACTAAATATTGGAAAGTGGAGTTAAATTAGACAAAACACAAGTACTTTCAATGTAATCTGTAATTACTTAAATAAGTACATTTCTAAAAACACTTAAAAAATAATATAATAAAGCATTGTAAGTAAAAAAAAAACTGTTACATGAAAAAATACACATTTAATCTACAGCTACACTTGATTTACTAGCAAGTTCAGAGTTCCCAACAATTTTGGAAAGGTCTTTTAAATGTTCCTCGGTCAATGTAAGCTTTTCATCCAGTTTTGCCGCTAAAGCTTTTGCGTCTGGAAAACCGTTATCGGCACAATACTGAATACATGTCTGAAATTAAAGATAAAATATGTTTCCCATTTTATTTTAAAGATATATTAAGCTAATTCAAATAATGTTCTTTGATACCAAACATCTAAGTCACACAACTTATTCAAAAAAATTGAGGAATAGATGCGTCATGAAAAATGGAGTCAATATTGTAAAAAAATGTTGTAAAATCCTTATGATTTCCAAGAAAAAAATTATTGAAGTACTATTTTCAACCTTTACAGCACTAGGTTACTGTAGTCTTTAGCGTCTTTCGCCCATGTGGCCCCGGATGATTCCGAATACTGAAATCCGATTTTAGTATTATCGTTGTTGTGATAGTGTTTACATTAGTTTTTCAAGTGTAAAAAAATGACAACTCGTAGTTAATGGATATCGTTTTAATTTACGGTGAAGACAACATTTGTGTTATGGTAAAGCATTTGTGTTATGGTGAAGGAAGACAACATTTGTGTTAGTTCGTAGAAACTGGGTACAATGGGCCCAAATGTGTTTACACGTCCTTGGACAAAATTTTGAACAGTTGTTAAATCACAAATTAAATTTATTAATTAATAATAGCAGCAAAAACAGTTGAATTTGCCGAAATAAAATGAGTGTTATAAAATTTTATTTATTTCTTTCCTTGAGAAAGAAATTCTTTTAATTTTTTGTGCGCTTGTTTTTTATTACACTTTGCGCCATGCTGGTCGCCGACTGCATGCTTTGCCTTGTGCACAGACAGGTTTTACAGTTTAAATAATTTTTGAGATTCAAGATTTTTTTTGGACATGTTCTGAATTACCCCGTATAAACTTGTAGAGATAAAAAAATTTTAAATTATGTCACACTATATAATTAAAAAAAAAAATTTTGTCTTAAACTGTATCTCACTTCCTTTTTGAAAAAAAAATAAAAAATCACTTTAATGCATGTCCCTGGGGCGACATAATAAAAAATTAAAACTACCAAACTATCAAAAACTAGCGTGTACCTGTTACTTTTTCCATATCAATAGTCTTTTCTAGTCTTAGAAATTATTAGGAAAATGAATGCAAAATAAAAAAAATTTTTGCGTTTTATTAATTATTAAAATATGTTTTTTTTGTTGTCCCAGAGAAATGCAATAAAGTGATATATGCGAAAAAAATTATAAAAGTTTTAAAAAAGTCAGTGGTGCACATTTTTTTTGGCAAAAATTTTGGGTAAGATGTCCCCGAGACGCCACTGCACTCAACAATTTTAATCTAGTTAGGGCTAAGGCCCTTTCTACCATAAATAACACTGCCAAATTTAAACAAAATTGGCTAAAAGATTAAGATTTTTAAGAAAAAACAATTTTTTAAAGAAGTTTTTTGACACCCTGTATCTTGAAAACGAAGAATTACTGGACCTATATTTATATAAACTTTTCGTCTTACAATCACTAAAAGAATGACCCCTTGAAGTTTGTCCACGTACTTAAGTAACACCCCGTAGTTTTTAAAATATTTTTTTTATATGAAACTAAAATACTTACAATTGCTCGGCTAGGGGCTTTGTCCTCAATGCATTTGTCTACAAATAAAGAAAGATCTTCAAATTTAGGAACTCCCACAATACTACCATGGCCTTTATCTAATTTTTCCATTACTTGGCATGCCTTGCTAAACTCGTTATTTTGCAAGACAAGTGTCATAATTTTTCCCAGGAGCTCTCCAGTCCAACTATAAAAAAATAATATTTCCTTTATTTAGCACAAGTTTTGCAGACAACAGTTTACAACTTTGACAATTCACAATAATAACTTAACCTCAAGAATGTTATATGTATTTTGTTTTGCGAAATTTCCATGGGTTTCTAAGAACAATATAAAACAATATCTAAGCTTCTAAAAACATGAAACTAGGAAAAAGAACATTCTACAAACAAACAAATGTTTAAGCAAAGCACACTACTCCGAATTTCGCCACAATAAAATAAAATCTGTCCAACATACGAACATCAACTTACATTATCTTATTGAATTTATTCTCGTCCTGACCCTCGATTTTATTGTAAATTTCCCAAGCGACATAAGAAAACCTTTCCTTCAATTCCGGATTGGGAGCTGGTCCGTTGTTTACCATAATATTCAACATCATACCTACAAGATTCTCCCTTCCTGTATGATCGAATACCGTCATGTCAGACCACAATTTAGGCACATACTCGACGGCGCCATTCAAATCCACCTGCTTCAAAACTTCTCCCATAACGCTGGGTTCCGGTACGTAAATATTAGGTACCAGTTTCTCATACACTTCCAACATAAATTCTTCTAGAGGTAAATAAGTAACCAAGAGAATGAAATAGTGGCGACTAAAAAAAAATAAGTAGGTACGCATTTTTTTAACTACTTTAAAAACTACTTACTAGTAAATTGACTCTTTGTAAGAATCACCGATGAGATCGTAATTGTTGCCGAAGTGAAGAAGTTTGTCGATTCTCTTAGCCAGTTCTATATCGTTCAAGTGGTTCCTACATACATCCATAGCGCTGATGAAGAAATTAGTATCGTTTAAATCCCTTATCTTGTGTTGTTTATTTTCGACCTGCGTCATGATATCGTAAAGAATTGTGCTCTTGGGGCCACGTTCCTTGCAAAACGTTATCAGAACGTAATAGTACGACGCTAATGACGGTTCGATACCGAGATCTTTAAATTCTCTGAGGGTTTTTAAGGCATTATCTTTTGCTATTTTGCCACCACCCATGGTACTAAGAGCTTGTAAAACAGCATTCAGGGTACCTAAATTCGGTCGAAGTCCAGCATTATTCATTCCAGAAAGCAATTCGACTACTAAATTCCATCTCAAGTCGTAACTTTCTTTCAAGAAATTTACTACACGTATTAAACAGTTGTAAGTGTTCGTACTTAATACAATGCCTTTTTCCTGGGCCTCCTCGAACAACTGATGAGCCCTGTCAACTTGAAAGTGCTTACTCATGCCTTGAATAATTGCTGAATATGTTTCACCTGTAGGATTCTCTATACTGATGAATACTTCTTCAGCAAGACTACCGTCCCTACGATATAAATATAACAATATAGACGCTATATTGTTCAAAACCTTCATAAAATACTTACTTCCAAGTTTTTCGTTGGCGTTCCTTGGAACGGGAACTTTGCTTAAACCACCGTTCCTCAATAAACTCCTCCGACAGTGTATTTTCACTGTTAAAATAACAAAGTAACTCCAGCAAATCCTGTTCAGTCTTCTTTGAAATCTCTACTCCCTTGCTTTTCAATAGTTTATAGACAAAATAGGCATCGGCCACCTGAACATCTTCTATAACTTGTTTCAGGTCATCCTCGGTAACTTCACTGTTTTCATTATATACAACTCGAGGTAAAAAAGCTTTGATTACAGGATCTGCCTCTCTGTGGTTGAAAACGTCAGCATGTTCTTGTCTAATCCAATGTGCAGCTTTTCTTCCTGCTTCTTGAGCCATAGCAAAAGTACGTTTACCAACGTTTGACATTGGTATGAGATAGGGGTCATCATGGTATTTGTAATGTGCTGCTGTTGGGTCGCGAGATATGGTACTTTCTAAGGCCCTTAAAATGTCTGTCGGTCCCCTGGGAATTCTCTTGGGTATTTCAATTTTTTCATCCACTTCTGCCGACTGGGAAAAGTTACGACATAACAAAGATGATACGTAATTTGCTTGTTTCAAGTTTTTCAATCTAAAAGATCAATATACCTAGGTTAGAATGAAGGTGATATTTCGATATCTTTCTACCTTTTCAGCAGTACTGTTGATATATTACTCATGGTGTAAGAAATAATAAATAAATTACAGTGTTTACGTTTTCTTATATTAAAAGTGATATCTATAATCACAATCACGTTCTCTTATATTAAAAGTGATATCTATAATCACAATATATTTATAAATTATTTTTTTTAATTCTAACCTAAAAAAGTTTCAAAATTTGACTTTAAAAACATGTTTTTTTAATGTATCACATTGGTAACATAAGGAGCTTTTTAACGAAGCATTAATGGTAGATGGTATAAAAGTTTTCAGAACTGCATATCTCTATATACATCTATTGATAAATTATATGTTCAAATTGTTATTAGGTATATAAAGAGTGAAATATATTTAATATATATCTTACAATCAAGAAACTGTGATCTTGTACATGACGACAGAGTACCAATGCATCTTGTTTAAAGCTAAAACGTAATATTTTATTTCATTTCATGAGCGAATTTCAGGATATCATAAAGGATATCCTGAATTTCGGTTTATTAGTGCGGAATTCCATAAAATAAGGTTTAAAAAATACTGTAGTAAGTAGTAGGAAAATCTTGACTTTTGCGGATCCTCAATAAAATTGACATATTTTGCCTGTCGTTGTCTAACCTTTCACTCTAATATCTAAAATTGAATTACTGTCGAGTTATACATAATTGTAAACCATTATACAGGACTACAAAATGGGAATTCAAGTTATACGGAAAACGCATCACGAATTCCGCATAATGAAGGCAAGTAAAAGTTGTTTTTACGACGGAAATGCGGAAATTCGTTTCCACAGTTCGGACCCAGATTAAACCATGAGGACTATCCTTAACCTTAACAATTGAAAATAACCACAAACCACAGACCTAGAAAAAAAAGATATAATTATGGGATTGTCGCAACGTAAAAACTAGCCTAGCAATAGTCATTACCAGGGCAACCAACACTGTAAATTTAAAATTACTGATTGTTTATAATCAAAAATCAGATGTCAAGCAAACAATGATACCTAACCTTAAAAATTCACAAATTTTATTAAGAAAATAATGGGTACGTTTTTAATTTCACAATGATTTAACAGACAGCCTTATTCTTTTTATAAAATTTACAGATACAAATGAAGCCCGCAAAAATTTAGAGGTGTGTTTAGGTGACGATTTGAAGAAAGAATACTTTGCATTACTTCGACAGTGGTTCTCATTCAGTGTTCCCTTAACTAAAGAAGAATTCGATAGAAATGTAAGAAGGTTGCTTGTGAACGAGGAACAGATACGCTGTCATAACTATTTCCTCTTAGCTATGCTTTCAAAGAATAGCACAAATCATAGACCAAAAAGTGTGAGAACTACTAATGACAAGGGCATTTTTGAATGTGCTGATTTTTCTGAATATGTGCAGCCATCCAGTCCCTCAATGTTGCCTCCGTCTGATTTTGAAAACAGAAGTGCGGCGGCAGAACTATTCATACCCGATAGTAGTTTCGTCTCTAGTAGAATAGCAGTGATGGCTTGGGAGAATGGTTTAGAAGGAGCCGATGACAGTGTAACTGAACTTATTGTTCATGCTTGTCAAGTGTTTGTGAAAAATATTGTTACGGCAATGATATCAAAATGCAAAGGGTATAAAATAAGAAATAGGAAGTTTCAATACGGATTTAATCATCCCATACCTGATCCATTTATTAGGAATTTTAATAACGTTACTGATGATACTCAGGAATCAAAGGTAGAAGTCGTAAATGCAGACGACAATTTTAAGCCTAAGTGCAAAATGTCTTTGGAAAATGCGGAACAGCAAATGGCTTTCACATATTCTTGTGCAAAGAAGAAGAAATGTGAGAATGTTTTGTCTGTGAAACTTTTGTACGACACTATTAGAGAAAATCCGACGATATTAGGCTTACATTCGATACATAGCGTAAATCTCTTCAAGCTTGGTTTACAACTAAATGAAGAGGATGAATTTTAAAATAATGTTTTATTTTTGTAACTAAATTATTATTAAATTTTATAATAAATCATTTTTATTTTATTATGTTCATTTAATGTTCATATGCTGTCTGAACTTCGACAATAAACAAAATTAAAAGAAACTTCATACTATCCGAAATAAAAAAAACTAATGCAACTATGCCCCAATGTAACAAGTATATAATACATTTTTGTATGCTTTCTTATTTTAAACTATTTCCAATAAACTTAGAACGTTTAAATTAACATCAAAATGAATGGTAATAACATCCATAAATTGGATCTTAATTATTTTTTAATATCAAAGCCAAGCCAAATATTTAATCCAGGTCAAGTTTGCAGTTCTTTTTCTATTTATTATTTGAATATTTACACCTTTTTTCATTCCTTTTCTTTCATAACTAAGAGTAGAAAGCCGGTGTTTACGCTATTTGAACAGGAATAAGGAAATGAACACAGTGGCGTTCCCAAATAATTAAAACATTTATTTAGATAAATAGTTTAAATAATCCCAAATCTATAATTTTGTAAAAACTAAGGCAATGGGTATAAAATTGTTCCCCCAAGTTATTTTAAAGCCCTAGAAATCATAATCTAAAGCGAGACAGTGTTAAATTTTAATAAAAACGTCGCGTTTGTTCATGAAAATGAAGCTAATGATTTTATTAATTATAGACAAACAGTCACTGATCTGTCAACCAGTAGTGTAGGTACTAGAGAAAACTGTCACTCGCTAAAAACCCAAGAATTTCAAGAAGTTACTGGACATTTTGCAAATTGAATAAGTGCATTCTATTTCTAAGAAAAGGGATATGTTTTACTTCAAAACCAAGTCATTTTCTTTTCAAAATTTTGTCATATTTAAAATATGAGTACGTAAATCTAATAGCATTAAGTCTTCCCAAAAAAATTTACACAAATTATTTGTTTGAAATATAATTTTAACTCTTGTGTTCAATTAAATATTAAAATAGTGATACAGATTTTTATATTTTCTGTTGAAGGCAAAAAGACATAGCTACAAAAGAAATATTTCTACACTGATGATTTTTTGTGGGCTTTTGATCATTCAAAATTGTATTTGGAATAGAGTTCCCATATACATTTATACTTTTAAGAGATCGATAGTTTTAACTATATACTTTCATAAATGATTACAAGCCACCTGACTACCGAGCTTAGGCAACCAGTGTTGCTAATAATATGCTATTTTTGCATTACTTCTACTGAAAATTTCCACCGACGACTCTGGTTAAGAAACAGAAGCCGAAGCCAGAAATGTGTTGCTCTTGTAATTATCATAGCAGAACGCTAGAATGTAGAATGTCTTTATAGGAAACGCCATCACGAGCTAAATCTACTGAATCATCCGGTAAATGCTAACTATTCCATTACATACTACACGCTATATATCAGTTTGCGCGGAAACGTTGTCGGCGGCATTTCAGTTCGCGCGAACATGTGATGTTAAGTGTTTAAGTGGTTGTTCTTTAAATCGTAAAATAGTCATTTGTAGTAATGTTATCCGTTTTGCTTTGGATGGTTACGGAGTTTGGTATGTCCAGAATTTTTACTAAAAAAGATTTTCATATTTTAGTAATTTTCTCCGTTACTGATAATGTACCACTATGTTTTTTTAATAGGTATGTACTAGAAAAGACAGAACGATTTTTTTCAAATCTGGCTGCTTTAGTTTTTAATTGTCTACAGACATATGTACACCAAACAGTTTTTTTACATAGTTTTGAAACTATAGGCTTAGTAATTTCATTACTATTATAGAAGCACTAGCCTTTATAAAGTCATATTTTTGCTGTATGTTGAAAGGATTCACTGCTTTACAAAAAATGGCAAAATGTCATACCAAGTTATTTTGAAATAATGCCAACAATTTAGGTACCTAATCATTGTATTATTAATATTTATATGGTTTTCCTCGACCATTTTTTTGCAACTTGAAATAAACCATATCTTTTTACTTTAACACTCTATATCTCGAAAACATTGTTTTATTAATATCACTTCACACTTCAATTACATCCTGTATAGTTTGAGTACTTTGGGAAGCTGGAAGTTATTTGTATAATTTTGATTAATTTAGATTTCGTAAATATTTTAATTATAGTAACACTTTCAATCTTTTATTAAAATAAATATTCTAAACACTAAACAGGAAATAATGCTATTATCTGATGAGGCTATACAATTATTTTTGTACCGTTTTTGAGTCACTGTAATAAAATAATATAACAGAATTTTACTATTACCTCAAAATTATATTGACGATTTCAGGAAGTTTATTACTTATAAGGATTTATTTAAAAAAAAAATAAAGTAGTCTGGACATTCTTGCGAATTCATTAATTATTATAGCAACCTTGATAGACACGCAACTTTTTTTAAAAATTTTTTTAGCATCTTTATACTAGACGATTAGCAATTAATTGATGTACCGATATTTTTAAATCATTAAAAATAAACATATTCTATAATACAAGCCATTAGGAAGCCATTACATTTGGAATCGGGCAAGGTTTTAAACTTGAAAAATGTTTCAGAATGAAAACAGAAACACGGTATATTTAAAATAAACAGTAATGTTTTTTATCTATAAAAGCATATTCGTTTGATTAATTGTTTTAAAATTACTTACTGATCTTTTAATTCTCACTGTATATGTGTACTTTAACTTTGCAAGTAATATTTATGTGTAATACGAATATTTAAAGCAAGTCCTTAAAATAAATTTTGCATTTCGGCCTTGCAGATCGATCATCGACTTTTTTTCCTTTTCTAAAAAACAGGTAGTACACATTTGGCTTTACCTTGGCGGTACCAGTTCCTCTTGAAGGAAATATATCTTTAAAAACCGATATTCGCACCGTACCTTGTTATTAACTCATTAATCATTTCTATTTCTTTGTACGGCTATAATAAACGCTTCTAATGTCGATAATTTAAAAATGTTTTTCAAATTCCATATTATTCAGGTCCAAATTAAATGTAAGAGCTTTCTCTTTTTTCACACCGTTAAATATTCGTTCAATTATTTCTTTAAAATGTAAATGATCAATTAAGTAAAAACGTATATGTTCAATTACAGTGTTTGTTGCAATTTCTCCTTATTTTAATTTTTGAGTGGTCACGCGGTTTCACTAACTGGAGCAATTTGTTTCAATCAAGTAGAATATAATATGTAAATGAAACTTTCCTAGATATTTTGCGCTTGTAAAAGAATACGAATGAAAATTTAGTACTAGAGATTATTTATAGAGTAGACTTTCTGTTATCTGAAATTTAAAACCTAAATATAAATGTATATTGAAGATCATAGGCACAAGAAAGCCTCACCAAATTAGGAAAAAATAATTGTATATATTTTAATTTACTTTACACCTTCCAAGCAGCAGATAAACTGATGTGAAATGTGTTCTAAGAGTTAGTAGAGTAACACAAAACGGTAAAAAAGACCTTACTTCTGGTCTGGTATTACTTCTGCGTAGTAATAATCTTGGATTATAGCTGTTTAATCTACAAATAAGACCTGGTTTTGACCCAGAATTGTGTTAATTTTATTGCATTTGTTCGTTCAATAAATGATGCTAACAAGAAAATTATACCAAGCGCGTATAAATAAACATGTATCTTACTGTTATAATTACTTGAGGAAATAATAGATTATCACTTTTTGATGTTGTAAAAAATACCAATTTCTTGAAATACAGAAAAGCAATTATTTCTGAGATTGCATAAATAAAAATATTACCTCTATGTTTCTTGGGAATTTATGTTTACCCCTTGTGTGAACTAAAATTATACCTATCACTTAGTTTGTGTTTAATATTTTTATTTTATCAGTTTTCTTATCTCCTTAATTGCTTTTGAGGTCAGTTTCAAGTGCATTGAAGCTAACAATGCATTTTTGTACCAACCTTTTTATTCACTTCACTTACTTGGTTATAGAAATAATAAAGAGTTTTGGTTATTAGCAATATCGGGGTTGTTTAATTTATTTTAATATAAGGGTTCGATCAAAGTATAAAAACAGTTTATTTTTGCATTCAGTTAAATTTTCGATAAAAGCTAGTAAATACTCAGTAGAAGTTCATAGTGTCGTATACAATTTTATTCTACAATTTTATCGATTTCCAGCTGAAAATTGCCATAAAAATATAAACAATTTTATATTACCACGCCCAACGTAAACAAAACACACGTGAAATATTACATGGTACATAAAAGAGACACTCATGTGCGTTCAACCAAGCAAATATTTATCAAAATCTAAAACAAATACAATAAAACGTCTAGTTGATATTGTTTTCTCCGAAATAGCTTTGGAGAAGATGATTTGCATATTTTACTGAATATACTATTCAGTTCGAGGCTCGTTTTTTATCACTTTTTTAACACAGAATTAGATTATTAATAATCATTTGCTTTTTGGGATAACTATAATACATCATCTGAGTTAATACCCAACTAAGTCTGGTTTAAACAGTTTTGCAGATAAATATACATTATTCAGTAGATATTACAGAAAGCCCAGCCGACATTTTTTATAAAAAAGCAAATATTAAGCCTAATCTAAAATAAACATATTAAATCGCCTAATTGATTGCTGTTTATATTTTTTCCTGGAATTAACAGATGTATAACTTTGGAAATTCTTTTAAAATTTATTTACTATATTCCCTCTGCTCACTAAAAGGAAAGGATTTTGCCAAAACACAGTTATTATTATTTATTATTTTACTGTTCTCCAGAAACAAAAAGTGGAGTATTTGCTCGTAAACACCCTCTACGTATGTACATATAAACAAAAATTGTCACTGAAAACTTACTAAAAATCATACTAGCATCTTATCTGCACACATACACGTAGGTAATACTTTATACGAATCGATAATCTTCGTCGGGATTTTGCTCATCTCCCTTGACCGTAAATGTCCGTTCAAAAGACAAATGGGCACATTCCATTTCGTAGCTGTAAGAAAAACGCCAAATTTAAACTCAAACTTACTTCCATGATTGTAAAAGAAATGATAATCTTAATGTTTTACGATCACGTGTATAAAAGATCTTGATAAGATTATAAATTTAACAACAATTAATTTCCAAGTTATCTGCTTAGTTTGTTTCTGTACTAGCTCAAAATGTGACAATGAGTTGCAAAAGGGCAAAAGGTGAGCTTTTGACTGAATCCGTTCTAATCCTAATCTAATAATATATAAACAGTTGCCATAAATTTTGACTGTGTCACTCAAATTCATCTTAAAACATTTCACAATATACCTAGGATCTGCTTTGAGATAATATTTATTTGGCTGAGATAAATTTGAATCATCCTCAATTATAAAAGAGATCGATACTCTCAAACTCAAGTTAAAACTAACTTAATAATAATAATATAGAATTATACTTACTTTTTAATTGAACATACAATACATTTTAGAACCAAGGGCAGTCATGATTTTAATCTGATCGCCCATGTGTAGAAAATAAATGCAAATTGCAGCTTTAGAAGGTTGAAAATAAGATCTATTGATCTCGATTCTGCTGAAGCCGAAGCAATCTTATTAATATAAATCTCTAATATATTTTAATGTGACCAAAATAGATTCAGTCATATGTTAGATTTTATCGAAGCAGATACTTAATGAGATCATGTGAAATTTATAATATGTTAATAATAAATGATTATCTATCTCACAACTAGTTGTTTTATGCGAAATGTTATGTCGAAAAAAAATTAATAAGGAAGTGAAGAAAGTTGATATACTTATTCTAGATAATAATTTCTTCACCTTCCTCAATAATCATCAATAATTATCATGCTGTATTTCAACAAAAATTGAAAATGAATTTAACTCATCAACAGCAACGACTTTTGTCTAATAATTTTTTTAATGCTCACTTTTTTGTCTTGTATTTTGTACCTGTGTTAAAATATGTAACTCTAAAGACCTGCGTAGGGACTAGAACTATCAAATGATCCAATACGTTAAAATGTTTTGCAAGCCTAAATTCTAATTACTAACACTAAATTAGTTCTCATTTTTATGCTTCTTTTTGTTTATTATTACCTCAGTCTTTCGACTTCCACCAGTAGCGGGGTAACAAAAATTTGAAGTTGTAAGAATCATGTGTTTCTAAAAAGTAATAGGTTTTCGAATAAAGTTATTAAACAAATGATGGTACTTTTGATGATTTAAATGTGTGATTAAGATTTCGGGACACTTTGTATATAATTATTGGCAATTTTGAAATACCTAAGTTTACGTTTTATATTTTAAGACAACGAAAAGTGTTCGTATTATAAAAGAGTACATAGCTACGTTTTCTGCTTGACAGTTTGTACTTAGAGCAAAAAATAACTATTACATCACAGAAACCTTACGTATCCGAAAGATAATACCTTTAAAAGCAATATAAATTTAAGTTAAAGTGTTAATATTTCACGATTTACTCATATTAGATACCTACTATACAAAATATCTCAGAAATAAATACCTAAATTTTAACCTCATTGAAAGCAATAACTTCTTAATTTTTAAGATATAATTTTGTATAATTTTTAATTATTATTATTATTACACGCTACTGGAACGTAACACATCGAAACAATTGGTTAATAAATAAAAAAAGTATAAAATAGGAAACTAATTATACTAAGTTCTATTTAGTAATATTAACACAGTTAATATTAAAGCTAATGGAAATTTATATATCAAATATTTCTAAATGAGCACATTACATCAAAGAAATAAAATTTTGACTTTTGTCTTTTTTCTTTTTAGATAACACGTCCTCCGAAGTACAACACGACCAACCGCCAGAGGACTGGAGCAAACTCTCTTTTATTTTACGCGTATTCATACCAGTAGCTGGACTACTGATACTTTTTAGGAAAAAACAAATTATCTCCAGACTGTTGCTACAGTTAGACAGAAATTGCGTGTCAGGTAAGACGTTTTTAATTTTTTTTTAACTCGATTCATGGAACTAGTCCAACAGTTTCAGATCCTGTCACCTAGCTGGTTGTCTATTTGTGACAGGACATAAAAATATTTGTTTATATACAAGTATTTTATATTAGGCCAATTTTCTGTCGCTTTATAACTTGTGGATATAACCAGTTCATACATGAGTTGCGAAATACTTTTTATGAGTCTATGACTTTTGAATTGTCGACACTACGTATTGAAACACGCAAAAAACGACTTGAGGACATGTTAACGAATGGTTGTCCTCTTTTTTTACTACCAGTGTAATGACTAGATAAAATACCTATTAGAAATAATTATATATCCAGTGTATTTTAAACGCACAAGGTTAAGCAATATTTTTTCGTTGTGTGGTACGATTATTACCTTTATAAACTCTGTTTCATTACCTAAATAACAATAAATAATTAAATTCAAAATAAAATCTTCAATTTTCACGAGTTTGTTCAACTACGTCGTCAAATCTGAACCTCGGCCTAAACTAAAAATTGTAGCTGGAACAGTTTACAGTTTACACTGGTTTTTTAGATAGATTTATACGTTATAAAATACAGAAAACTATTCAACAGAAATTCAGAAAATGCTTGTCACACAGAATTTCTAAAATACCTACCTTTAAAAACCTTAATCCCAAAAAATCTATTAGTCCAGGTGGAATACCTTATTGTATTTTCATCTTATAAAGCGATTCTTTTATATCCGTTGTTAATAAATTTTCAAAAAGCCATAAAACAGTTCATTTCTGAAATAATTCAAAACTCTATATACATAAAAGTGAGAACAAGGATTTAATTAAAAACTATAAACCTATTACCGTATTAAACTGTATAGCAAAATTGTTTGAATTTGTCCTTTATAAAAAAAATTAGATTTGAAAAATATATAATTTTTCCTGAATAACACAGTTCTTTTTGAGGCAGATACTTCTAAATTGCATTTAATTTATTTACGCAACCTTTTGGTAAATTTTTCCTCATCATATTTATATAACAGAAATCAATTTGTTATGGAGGCACCGAATCGACTTTTGGCGGACTCTGGTGTACCACAAAGATCAAATTTAGGGCACATCTTTTTTTTAGTTTTATTAACGATATGCCACCGATGCTACAATTCTATGCTAATGTGATATCTATTGCTGTTCTGTCTCTTTGGCATAACTGTCTTGATTTTCTCCATCATTTTCAGTTCTTTGTCCATCGTTCAGTCGCAGAGAGAAGTTACTGAAATGGGCAGGTAGTAGACTTCCAGAAACATGGTCCTCTCAGTCAAGGACGTTGGCGGGAGGCGTGGCAGAACTATGGTCCGATGGATCACTTCTGTGCACCTTGATCAATTCAGCCATACCAGGGGCTTGCCCAAACCCACATAGACACTGGAAGAAAGCTCCCCTGCACGCCCAAGCAATCGCCTACAAATATCTAGGCGTCATACCAGTAAGTTTTAGACATAGAAGAGTTTTTTGAATTCTTGGAAATGATTGATGATGTTTTTTAAATTTTACCTCGAAAAAGTTGGATGAAAAGGCTTGCAAAACTCTTTTTATCGCAGAAACCCGTAGTTGCTTTATGACCACTGCTTTCTGGGATACCCTATGCATTAAATATTTTCCTGTTTCAGATCTTCACCGAAACCGACCTAAAAGGAAGCCTGACGGTGACCCTAGAAAGAAATTTTCTACATTACCTAAACGAACTGCAACAGGCAATCACGAAACTTCTAGAAAGAAATGATACACCGAAAAGCATATCCATACACTACGTCGTGAGAGGTATGGGACTGTACTCCGGCGAACAGCACAGAAAAGCCGTATTTTACGTGTATCCCAACGCGAACACCACTGGCCAGAACAGCAACATAATTATACACATCAGAGGTCCATATGCCACCTACGGAAAAGCCGTAATACCGAAATTCAACAGTGACTTGTTCGCTACTCCAGAAATCAACATCTTGTCAGACCTGCAAGCTACCAAGAAGCTCTTAAACGGAAACATATTGACGCCGAAAAGTACCTTTATGAAGAACTTTTCGCTGCCCTTCATGCAGTACCACAAAAAACACACGGGCGACAACATAGTCATAGATGTTGCTATGGAAGGTGATAGGGCCAAAGTGACTTACATACCCAAGAATTATGGTATGTACGAAATCATCATGGTTGCTAATGGCGAATTGATAAGAGGTTGCCCATTCAACGTGCACATATTAAACAACGTTTCTGGCATTGAAGACAGCTTCGACGGCGAAGAAAAAGTAGATGACATTCCGAGTTTACGGAGAAGGAAGATACTTTCTAAAACGATTGATTTTATAGACGAACAGATGCCAATAGCTGAAGTGTTGAGAAAATACAAAGCAAAAGAAGAAAATGTTGAGTATGAGGATAAAGACACTAAAAGTAAAACTAAAATTGAAGAGGACGAGTTTGATGAAACAAGAAAATTGAATGGATCTGTAGTGCCACAGACAGAAACTACCAGTGTAACGCAGTGTATCAAAAATACCCAAGAAGAAGACGATGAAGACGGAAATTTGTTGGATAACAAAATTAATGATTGTACTGACGAAACGGATTGTAATTTAGCTGACGATGAAAGTATTTCAGAGAAGCAAAATTCAGAATCTACCAGCGAAAATTGCAAAACCAAGCTAAACATTACCAATGAAAATAACTTGATACCGAGTCATAAATTAAACGAAAATAATCAAACACGAGGCATAATTCACAAGGTAAACCATTACACTGATAAAAGCACTCACAAGGCTCTAGGCAACGATCTATCGGTTAGTTTACAATTACAATCAACAAATGAGTCAACCAGTGACACGAAAAAATTAGCAGACGTGTTACAGCAAAGAAAACAAACGTATAACGTTGCTGTCAACACAAATTCCAGTAAAACTTCTGATGACAATCAAAGCCGAATAGAAGTGAACAAATTAAAAATCCCTGAAAGATTTTGTGAACTTCAAAATACTGTAAATAATAAATTCAGCGCTGATGTAGACACTAAGTACTTCAAAAACGTTATCAACACTTCTAATAAAAGAGAAACGCCAAAGAGGATTTCTAAAAAACTGAACGATGACCGTGTTAAAAACGTCAACAGAGTAAATATTTTGCAAGACACAGATAAATATCCTGAGAATTTAAAAAATGACGACAATAATAATAACCACACTCCCAATCTCAATTACAGTGAAGCAAGAGAAAATGTTAAGGCACTACGAGTCTATCAAAGAGACTCAAACAAGGACACACCTAAAATAAAAACTATTCCTAATAAATTTCTTCAAACTCAGCAGCACCTCCAAAATTTAGAACCCCCTTCAGGAAACCCACCAATTACTTCCCCAATATGCCCTGATCATATTGTCCCCGAAGTAGAGAATTCTTACAGAAAAATGTCTGTGGCTGAAAAAAGAAAGGTAAGTTATCACTAGAGTGCGGCTTGGAACAGTACCGGACTCATTTTGTTCGTAGAAGAACCCTCCATACACAATAATAATAAAACTAAACAGTAAACCTAAATATAAAAGTTAAGAAAATATGTAGAAGTAAAAGCATCTCACAAAATTTAAAGTTCAGGTTTCAGTTTCATAAAATAAAGTTTTTATATCGTCACAATGTTTATATCATCATCAAACTGCATTTAAAATATTTATTTTTGCTTTTACTAGTAAACAACTGAAATGAAAACTAAAATGTTTATTTCTCGAACCTCCTGCCTTTCCACAACTATATATTTATTACTTTATATACGTAATTTTTTCAGATATTCTCCAAAAACACCCCAGACAAAATCTCCACCTCCACGAACTCTTCGTTTTCAGAAACTGAAAATGCTGAAGGCTCCCTCAGTCGCCCGTATTTCAGACAGTTCGAAGGGCTCAGCGTTCTAAATTATTTGGGCAGTTTAAAGAAATCGGAGTGTACCAACAAACGAGAACCTTATCCTCTAAGCAGCACCATGAGTCTCCCGAATATTTCTTCCATGGAAAATGGCGTTTTCAGGAACTCCGTGAAGGAAAGAGCAAACTTTTGGGAAAAGTTGTCATCCAGTTCTAGTTCACTCAGTATAAACTCGGAAGAGTCGTTGAAGAGGAAAACTCACAAACTATCGGAAATCGAACGGTGCAAGTTAATTTGGAAGAAACCTGACGAAAACACGGCTTCAGGCACAAGCATTAGTACGATCGGGGAAAATGAAAATGTCGATAAAAATGAGGATATTCGCAAATCTGCCGATGATATTTTGTCCATCACGAACTTTGTTCCGCGCGATGCTCCCAAGAAACACAAATCAATGGACCATTCTCTGGATAAATGCACCATGATGTCTATCGATGAAAGGAAAAAAATGCTCTTGAAACAAAACTATGAAAAAGAAATATCTGGGAAACAATCGCCTGTATCTTTGCGGAATGTGAGTATTAAAGAAAATCGCAAAAGTTACTTGAACCAAAAGCCAAAAGTTATAAATGAAGATCAAAATGTTGACGATGTTATGGTGTTTTCTTCTATTGTCGACAGGATAAAGAAATATGACAGTGGTGAGTGGTTATTAGGTACTAGGTACCTCAAATTTGATTATTGACTCTATTTAAGGTGTTTTTAAAAAAAAATGCACAGATGTACTTGAAATTTATATAGCGTATTAGCCAGCGCTCCCTCTGTGCGTCATATTTTTTTGAAATTTTTTTTGAATCTAGATTTTGAGATATTGTTGTTGAAAGTTGTTCATTTTAACATAGGTTAAGCGGCGAAGATGGACAGTGCGGCTCTTTTTTTGCCCATAACTGAGAAAAAAATTTAGAAATTGTGAAACAAAACTTTTCCTTAGATAGTACACAGTATTATCTTATTTTTGAAGTAAAACTAATGTAAGTTTTGAACATAGTACAACTGTATTAATTAGAAACAGAAACCAATAATTGCATTTCTGTCTGACTTGAGGATTAATGTGGCAACGTCGCAATCAGCTGACAGCATGGAGGGAATACATTTGAAAGACTTCGTAAAAACGAAATTGATTTCAAACATATACATTTTTCCTAAATCCCATGTACATTGTTATCAACAATAAATTATCAACAATAGATGCTTTTTTGTAATGTTTTTAAAAAACTGGACTAATTAAAAAAGACTAGGAAGCTGCTATATATTTATTGGAATAAAAAATACAGTTGATAAATTCTTTTAATATATTTAATGATTTATAAAAACATCGTAATTATTACCCAGCAATATTTAGGGTTACATATAAGTTTTCTTTACTTGATCAATATAATTAGTAATACTTGATATAAAAACATTTGTACAGAATAACAAAGGAACACAAATATTTCTCATCAAACTTTATATCTAAAAAATTAGTTATAGTTGCAAAACTTTTGTAACATTACTAAAATAGAGCTGAAAAACACGAACAGTGAGTAATAATGTAATTTCTATCACAGAACCTTCAAAATTGCATCCAACATTTTCTTTGACTTGGACGAGAGATGGGCGCGAGTGTCATTTCATTTCTTTAGAACTAAATTAACATAATTCTCGTTGTTTTACCAGTTCACATGATTTACGGATTTTAAATAAAGGATACAAATCTTCGCGAGGATAATACGATATATTTGCTATATTATAATAATTATATTTACACACAATACATTTTTGAACGCGTACGCATCTTTACCCGAATTGGACGCGCAATATCTCCGATGCCCAAGGTCTGTATAGGTTCGCAGTGTGTACAACTGCACTCGATTATTAGCGCTGTTGCCACATCTACATAGTCTTTATGCGTCCATTAAATATAATTTAAAACTACTTAAATATGATATTTTTATGTTGTTAATTAGTCAATATGTATGCAATGTGCATATGAGTAGATTTCTTTGCTATATAGATAATGTTTATCGCATATAATTTCAATAGAATTTAATTTTTTCAAATTGGCAGCGGGTTTTAGTCTCATAAGAAAAGCATAGGACCCCCCCCTCCCCCCTGCGCTCCTCACTTCTCTCGGACCCCGATATACCTCCTTAGCAAAATGAAACAGTTTAAGTATTATATCTATATGATTTAAATGAATAAATGAATTGATTGAGTGTTATAATCCTGAACAAACTCGAAAAGAAATATTGTTTTAGGTGCATAAATATTGCTATTTTACATCAAACATTGCTGAAAAGGGGCATTTTTTTAATTTACAATACCTTACAATTTCAAATACTACTGTGTAAATTTTCTTACATTCTATAATGCTATAAGTATTGAATGAGCAGATGCATTTCTAAATTACATTAAATTGTCCTCGCAAATACTACCATTATCTGGTAATACCTAAAATATGACGCTTGAGCTAAATACACCTGTCCAAAGTTGCTTTATTTGCAAATTGCTTGTTTAAATTGAAATTAGAGAAAATATTTTTGTCTCTAACAAAAAACCAAAAATATAGCTTATATTTTGCTTAATTACAATTTAATACAACTGTGGGATTTACAATTATCATATTTTGGTCTAAAGATTATCTGGTAGCATTTGCTCCTTCATTTTAGTTCACCTAGCAACAAAAATACATATAAAGTACAACTTATTTCTTTACAGTTTGCAATTTATCAAACAACATAACAGAAAAACAAACATCAAATACATCCTACAACAACAATGCAGATGTCAAATTAGCTGCTTCACCTGTTTCCAAAGACAACTCAAATACCAGTTTGGCTGCGACAACTTCCATGAGTAACGCCAAGGAAGATATACGCGTTTTGCCGCAAACCGAACTACTGACGGTCAAGTCCCATTTCAAAAGAGCCATAAAATATTTCAAAAACCTGGAGGAAAAATCTTTGAATAAATCGAAAGCTAGGTTAAAACCGAAAGACTGCCGAAGGCATTCCCTGAATCTTCTGTTTGATAAATACCACAAAAAAGGAGGTAGCCTAAACTTTAGTAATATCAAACAACGATTCGCCGTAAGCAACTTGTACGAAGACGTTTTTGGAGATAGAAGATGTAACTTCAAAGGTGCAGCAAATCGAAGTGCGCTGGTAGAAGCTCTGGCCACATTTTCAAGAAATGAAAGTCGCTATTTCAAGGAAGATGAGGATAAAATAATATACGAAATATTTCAGAAAAAGTCGAAAACTAAGAGAAGGAAAAGTATTAGATCTATTTTTGATATATATTATTAATTTATTTATTGTTCGATTGTTTTTTTATTTTAATTTAATATACTTATTTTTATTATTATATTAATAATAAATAGTTGTTCATTCACTAATTTTAACTCGTGTTTGTTGACAGCCCAATTATTATACAGATTTTTTTTATATCCTAAAATCCTGGATTGATTTTATTTCCATAATTTTTAAATCAACATTTAAACTACTTCTTCAAAAACAGGTAAAATTGTGATAAAATATCTTTGTTCAATAAAATGTAACATCTGTGTATGATTTTGTCCTAACCCACTAAAATATCACATTATGCCTGTAAATATTTATATCTTTAAACAGAAATGACAAAGGAAATTTGATAAGCATGTTTATTTCTAACCGAATGAATAATTCGTTTAGCTTTCTGGCAAATACTTCACAAAAGTTAATTTAAATTTAAACAGTCAGTTTGCGTAGATAATGTTATTATTATTTTACAGTAAATGCCATAACATTGGATTATTTACATACCATGAATGTCTATTAATTTAGTATTCTGTGATTTAAACAAATAAAAATTAGAAAATAAAGATTGCTGCTTAAAGGTCATACGTGTAGTCTCAATACATCACTTACTATTCAATTCAAAAGCATTAATTTATTTTTTCGAAAACTGTCATCATTTTCGTTAAATTTTCAGTTGACAAAGTGAATCTTTTTTGTCACCTAACTGCAAAATACATTTATATCACGTTGTTATGGATACGTAGTTATTTCTAACGAATATGGGTATGTGTTAATAAATACTTTCTGTAATACATTTTTTGTATAATATAAAATTCTCTACCTATTTATGATAGTTGCTTGTAAAAATTTAAACATACAGAAACGTTACAGAAGAATATTCACGAAGGGTAGTAGTAAAATGAACGCCCTGTATGGTTTAACCCAATAGGAACATAATAACTGCATACTTCATGAAGAGAAACTAAACAACAGCAAATTTTTCTCAAATCAGTTCTGCATTAACGAGAAAACAAGAAATAAAAAAGAAACTTTAACACCTTGTAACTTTTTTGCGACATTTTTCGTGTAAGCAAGTTTGGTTAAATCGACACCATTTGGGTTCTAGATTATACCGACCCTTGTAGTATGTAACATTCGTTATGCGACACCCTGTACAGTAGTTATTTCCAGTATATTATCATTAAAAAATTGTATTTATGAAGCAATGTCGTTGTTATCAATTTTAGGCCAAGTTTAGTTAAATCGGCTTATTTTGAGCCGTACTATATCTAGTGGAGCGTTGTACAGACCCTAGAAACACCCTGTATAATACCCTATTATAAATTATAATTCAACATTTAAACTACTTTTTAAAAACCAAATTTTGAAAATGTGCGTGAAATAAAATATTGATGAAATAATTTTGCACAATAAAATGTAAGAGATAAGAGTGCCCTGTCCAACAATATCATTATGCACGTAAATATTTATATCTTTAAATAGACACAACAGAGAGGACGTTTGATAAGCATGCTTCCAATAAGCTTTCATTTGTTAACGTCCATTTCTGCCAAATACTCCACTAAAGTTAATTTAAATTTGTAGTTAGTTTGAGTGCATAATGGTATTACTTTACAGTAAGTGTCGTTAACATTCATATACATACATACTATGTAATTTAATTAAATTATTGTTTTGTCTCTAAAAGAAATAGAGAGAGTCAGTAAATGGTACATCCTAAAGGTCAAAACTTTAATCTCATTGCATTATTATCAATTCAAGAGCACGAGTTTGTTCTTATATCGTCTAATATTTTATTTAAATCCCATACATTTATAGATCTTTTTATCTATTTAATATACAGGTTGTCCCGACCATGAAAATTTAGGAATACATATAGTAAGTAAAAATTTGCAATATAAACTTGTTTTCGAGACCCTTCGTTTTTTAAATAATGTGTAATGAAATTATGTCTCAACAGATATCAGAAATATCAGAGGTATTTCCATTATATTTTTCTCAAAAGTTATGAGGCGCCAATAGGGAGTTTTTTTTGTCGTTTTTGATACGCAAATACCTACTTTGAACGAATATGTGCTCTTAACTTTTTTAAATTACTAAACAACTTGTCAAAAATCAAGAAGCATATTGTCCAATTTTCATATACAGGGTAGTACCCTTAAATAAACAGCAGATTAATGAAAATACGAAAATCTTTAAGCAAACTGCTGCTAGCGCGTTTATTACAGGAACTATCAATGTAAAACTTTCTGAAAATAAAAGTTTATTTTCTTTAATTGTCTTAAAATCCTAATGCGATACGTCCAATAGTTAATTAACAATTAACGTTATATAACCTTGGGAACAAAGAGGCGTAGGTGATTTCTGGAAAAGAGCGAATTCCCGAGCAGCATTTGCACAATTTGTTTATAACGTCGTTTTACACGTCATACTTAGTTGTAAAGGGCTAATTAATTTCAACTTTTTGAAATTTATTTTTCGATACGTTTCTTTTAATCAATTAGAACCTGCATCTACGATATTAATTTCTAAAATTAACTTTAGTAATTAAACAATTAGCTGCCAAAAAACCAACGAAATTAATTAACAAATAACTGATGCAACACTTCCACGATCAATCGAATCGACCTTTGACACACATGTTAGTCACTGGATTGACCGTCTTTTCCATAAATTTCATCATCATCCATCGCTATTTGCAAAAATAACTTGCGGTTTTCGAAAACTGATTTTTCCACATTCAACCTTTGTTTCACAGCTAACAAATTGGTGATATATGGCTTTAGATACCAAAATTGTAGGTAATTTAATTGCCTACAACATAAAATGACTAATTTTTCGTTAGGTCGTCTAGATTTTAGAGGGCAGTAAAAAAAAGTGAAAAAACACGTAAATTTGACAACTTTCGAGTTAGTTTTTTGATGTTATTAATTTTTCTAAGTTGAATTCCATTTTATTGTTGTTTACGCACTCAAAATTTCAACATTTTTATTTGTTCAGAAGATATTTATGTGTACAACATTTTCCTTTTTTTTTACTATGTATCCCAAAAACGGCAAGATGTCGAGAACAATTTTATTGGATTCCTGAATGATCGTGGTCAAAATCTTACACTAGATGTTATATAAGATAGCTTAGCTTATACAACCATAAAAGTAGTAATATTACATGGGAAAAATTTCTGTTCTTTCAGAACTTACCTGCTCGATGTGGATCCACATCGTCTTAACCTTAATTCTAATAAATCCCTCTGAAGAAATATGCACAAAAATCAGAACCTTTAAACGCAGACTCTATATTTATATGTCGTGTACCAAAATAACTCCCAGCTATAACTTAAATAGAGACATCTTAGCCAAAATGGATTATAGTATCGAAGATTTGTTAGTGTTAAACAGTAGCATTCCCGAATTGAACCGAGAAATGTTTCTTAATGTCACCTTTAACAATGTGACGATACAAGCTAACGTGGAAATTATTCAAGACGAAGCTTTTAAGGATTTTAACGTCACTTCGCTCATATTAGACCACAACGATATTAAAAAAATAAAGGACAAGAGTTTTAGTTCATCACGGATAGAATTTTTGAGTTTACAGAACAACAGCATAAGCGAGATCAAAGTTAACAATTTCCAGGGATTGTCAGGACTCGAGAAACTGTACTTAAAATATAATGACATCACGGATATTGAAGAAGATTCTTTTAGTTCCTTGACCAATATCAAGGAACTAGACCTATCATTCAATAAATTAGTAGAACTTCACTTCGGTCTGTTTGAAACCATGACCCTATTACAAACTATTTACTTAAACAACAATTTGTTGAAAGGACTGAGTGATCATGTTTTCTCTGGGTGTAAAGCCTTGACATTTTTAAATATTGCTAATAATTTCATCACTATATTGGATGCTAGATATTATCCAAACTCCCTTTTTTCTGTAAACGCCAGTAATAACCGATTAATGTCTGTCGATTTTTCAAATTTGGAAAACTTAGATAACCTTGACTTGAATTTTAATAATTTAAAGACAGTAACAAATTCGTTATATAACCTATATGCCTTAAGTGATTTATATCTCAGTTACAATTCACTTGGTCCTTCTATAGATACAAAAACTTTCCATCACACGAAGAATTTAATTACATTAAATCTAGATGGTAATGGCTTACGAAATATCGACATTCAAATGTTAAATAATTTGTCACGACTTGGAATATTGTCTTTAGCAGCAAACAGTCTAACCAACTTAGACTTTTCTAATCTTAACATACCGCTTAGGACTTTGATCCTGGGCAAAAATTCCTTGAGTGAAATACGAAACTTGTCCAATATGCATAATTTGATGAAGCTGGACCTCAGTTATAATAACTTAGAAGAAATTGGATATGATACCTTCGGAACTATGACGATTCTGTCGCAGCTTTGGCTGCAGCACAACTCAATACGTCTCCTTCACTTGGGCTGTTTTAGAAACTTACATCTACTACGAGATTTGAACTTGAGCCACAATAGAATCATCAATTTAGAAGTAGGGTTATTCACAGGCCTCAGTGGATTAGCCATATTGGACATAAGTTACAACAATATCTCTCATTTAGATGAAAATATTTTCCACAGTACAAAACACCTTGCATTTCTAAATATTTCTTACAACCATTTAAGCGATCTCGAAGCAAGAAATATCCGGACCCACACGTTTTGGCTCAGGGAAATCACTTTGTTTGGCAATAACTGGACATGCAAGCGTTTGATAGACAATTTTAAAGGAAATACGCCCTTGACTCACGGCACATCATTTAACGTCACTAACGTTTTTGGGATACCTTGTACCAACACTAATAATAGTAGCCAACAGGCTAACCAGACCGATGATTCAGTAAATTTGTCAAAGTATTTGGATTCTGTTAAAGCATTTGAGAAAGAAATTTCCTCTAAAATGACTGTGATTGTAGTTGTTTTAATTATATTGTCGCTTTTAATTTGTATGAAATTTGCTTTGCCTAAATGCTCTTCTTGCTTCAATGAAGCTAAGCAGTTTTTTTACACAAGACACAGAGATGAACAAGAAATACAACTATAATGTAATATGTGCATTGTTATAAATAAATAAAACATGTTCGTTCTAGCAATTTATTCAATCTAGCGCTTGTACAGCAAATATCGCAAATTTATTTACAGAGACTGTAATTCGAAAGTGTCGGGTGAAAAGAAAACATTTATATTCATTTAACTTTTACGATCATTAGGTTACGATCTCATACTGTAAAAATTTTTAGTTCTAAAAATCTGTTTTATTCTTTATCACGTGATGGTACCCATACAATATATTTTTTGTGATAATTTAATATTTAAGTTATAACAATAGTTACTATGTACTACCATATATGTAAAAATAAAATAATGTTAAAAGTCGCATTCTTATATCTACATAAATATGTCCTGAAATATACACATTCAAATAATTATTCACATTATGTCTGCCAGAGCCATCTAGTAGCCAAGGTACAAATTAACCTTTTTAACTAGCGAGGGTTGACGAATAGAGAACTAACTGTATCTGTGAAAAAGTCATGCGTGTGTTGTCTCTGTTCTCCATTCTTTGCGCCTTGCGGTTTTTATTTTTGTGGTGACAGCATAGCGTTCAAGTGCAAGTGACAGTTGTAACTTGTGATTCATAAAAATGGCAGAACTAATATCGGTGCCGTTAAAGAAACCGAGCGAAGTTGACATCGTTAAGCCGCTAAAAAACTTGATCCAGTCCAGGTACAGCACAGCAGACAAACCGGAAGACTGTTCAGACGCAATAAATGAGTTCTCAAAGCTTAGAAACAACGCTATATGGAAGGCCTTTGAGAAGTATGAGAGTTCACTGGAAATTATTTATGGGTATGATTCATCCTTAATTTCTTTTATTTCTAAATATCGCTTATTAACCCACGTATTTCAGTTATTATGATCAAATAGTGAGCCTGGAAAGCAAAATTCCTTCACAGGAACTCCAGGTTCCATTTAAGTGGAAAGATGCTTTTGATAGAGGAAATATTTTTGGAAGCAGGATGAGTTTGAGTAAGTTAAGTATAAGTGAAGAAAAGAGGAAGAAATTAATCAATATCTCTTCTATTTTTAGCAATTCCTTCACTGAGCTATGAAAAAGTTTGTGTTTTGTTCAACATTGCAGCCCTGCAAAGTGGTGTGGCTGCAGCACAAAGTATGGAAAGTGATGATGGATTGAAATTCGCAGCTAAATTGTTACAGGTTAGTAAATAAAAATCTTTAGTAGGTATGTTTCGAGATATGTTTTATATCCATTATTTTAAATAGTTTGCATATGTTTTGATAATTAATTCTGTTGTGGTAACTACCTCACTGTTCTTTAAAGTATGTATTATTATAAAATACTACAACAAGTCGACATATTAAGTTATGAAAGTTTTATTATATTATTACCCCCACTATAAATAGAATAAACAAGAACGAGTTATTTTATCATTGTGTTCTGTGACTATTAATTTGAATATCTATGATATGATGATGAGTAATCATGATGTTATACTTAAATTACCAGTGTTTAGTTTCATCTGCATGAAATATATAAATGTTTGATTTAATTGCAAAACAGTTCAGTAAACACCCTGTATATCAGAAGGATTTATGTATGTAAAAATAAAAATGTAATGTAAATTTTTGTTAAAAATATTTTTAAATTAAAAAACATTTCTCTCACAAAAACGTTTAATTGTATGAGAAATTGAGTTCAATTTATCCCAAACAAAGTGATTTTGAGAAAAGTGGTTATTTATCAGTTTGAATTGATATTGAAGCCATAATAAATAAACGACTCTTGGTAAAGGAAATGTATTTCAATTTTAAAATATTTTTAAGAGACCTTTACTCTTCCGATATACAGGATCATTAGAAATATTTTTTAAAAGCTGGATTAAACCATATAATAAAAAAATAATTAATACCGACTTGATGAAAAAGTTCAAACATTGGAGGTATGTCCCCCATGCAGCACAATTAGTTTATATTACTGTTTAGAGCAATAAAAACCTTAATTAGATGTAATTGTAACCCCTATTTGCAACTCTAAATATAAATCGACTAACATTTCCTTAGAAAACAGTTAATAAGTTTATTTATAACAAGTTATTTTACTTTAAATCCTGAGATTAAAAACTATTTGACAAAATGTCTTGAAAGTAATTTATATTCTAAATGAGTTTTACCCAGATGTCAGATCTGTTCCCTAAGAAGAAGCCATTTTGTAAAAAAACATTGATTATTGAAAAACAGCAGATGTTTAACAAATCCTAAGTCACTATGATTTTATATTCTACCAATATGATACAAGGCAACCTTATAGACTTTTTAAAAAATTTTTAAACATTTAAGTAAAGTAATATATTTTTTTCTATAAAAAATTATACTTGGGGTGTTAAAAATGTTGATAAGTACCGGCCCAGTGGCGGCTACTGAAACTTAAATTTTTCATATTTTGTTAGTGAAACATGGATGAAACCTATTTTTTTTTTTACTGCACAAATTATGTTAAAAACAGTGTAGGTCCCACATTTCATTATCAAACGTATCAAATGTAACAACTTTAATTTTTACCAGCTGCTACTGGTGTAGGCACTAACACACATGTACTTTATATTTCTGCTCGTCCCGTGTCATCTCTGAGTCTCTGAATGCTCTGCGCGGGTGCTCCAAGCATCTTATCAACTTTGGTGAAATAGGCATTAGGTTTAGTCAAAAGTAAAAATAATATTAAATAAAGCGTGACATTACATAATTCTAACATAACATACTACTAGGGATTTGCATTGCTCAAAGCAAAGCAATAATTTGGTTTTAAGATGCAACGGAACTAACTTGAAGTTATTATTATTATTATTGTTTGACCCTTGAACCTCAACCAACAAATCAGTTATTTTTATGAGCTAACAAGCAACCAAGAAATGCCAATGTTTTTGTTCGATTGTAATGAAAAACTTGTTATAATTTTGAATGTTATGGATATGATTTGTATTTCGTATTCCTCCGGTACTGTATATATTATATTTTTTTGTTACCGTATTTTGCAACATGACACTCGGCCTCAGATTTCTGTAACTCCTACAGATATTGTAATATACCGGGTGATTCAGTTTGGTATTTGCGGCCCTGTATCTCTTTTATTTTAACAAATACCTATAACAAACCCTATATATTTTTAAATCGCCGCTCAAACTCTATCAGATGACATTATTAGATCATCTCCATGATAACATATGTCAAAATTGCTATAGTCAACTGTTTTTATTCAAATGGCACCCTATATATTTCTTTATCAATTCTGGAAGATATTTTTTCTGTGTTCAGCTATGTAAGGAAGTCTATGGTTTCATTAGAAATATTGGTAGAAAAACAGCAAAAAAGATGAACCCTACTTTACGTAGCTTTATTCTTAAAAATGATAACCAGCTGTGGAAACAAGTTATTATGTTTTTTAAAGTAACATATTTTATTTTTAATATGATAGTAATATTACAATTTAAAATGATGCTTATTTCAAATGTACAAAATGACCTCCATTTGCTTCCAAACACAAAATAGCTCTGTTTATCACTCCCCCTCTTCATCTCTTGCCCTTCTGAGTTTAAAAACTCTTCTTTTCTTTTGAAAACTTCTAGTTTTTCTTGGTTACTGTAAGTATTCATGTTACAATTATTAGTTATAAATATAATAGGTAGGTACAAAATGTCAATTATTTTGACAAACCGTTATTTAGAAACGTTAAAATTCAGTTGTTTCCACAGCTGGCTATCATTTTTCAGAATAAAGCTACTGACAGTAGGATTCATCTTTTTTGCTGTTTTTCTACCAATATTTTTAATGAAACTATAGACTTCCTTACATAGCTGAACGCAGAAAAAGAATATCTTCCAGAATTGATAAAAAAATATATAGTGTGCCATTTGAACAAAAACAATTGACTATAGCAATTTTGACACATGTTACCATGGAGACGATCTAATAATGTCATTTGATAGAGTTTGAGCAGTGATTTAAAAATATATAGGGTTTGTTATAGCTATTTGTTAAAATAAAACAGATATGAGGCCGCGAATATCAAACTGAATCAGCCGGTATATTACAATTTGGTCGTATTTGTTTAAAGTTGGATATATACTTTGTCAGGTTAAAAATATGGATGCTCAAGATGTATTTACACTTTACATATATAGGGTGTCTGCGAAAGGGTGAGAAGCTGGAGATACTGGTGGCTGAAATAAAAGTCGATTGAGCCAAGTATGCCTTATGCAAATGTTGCCGGTTTCAAAGGTACATGGTATGGCGTTCAATGTTTGAATTTTATTATGAAATTTCTCAATAATTTTGAAAACTGTCAAGAGTATGAATAAAAGAATTGTCACAATTATTTCTTTTGACATGACAAGAATTTTTAACTCATTTTGGCGTTGCTTGTATAAAGCGTCAGTTATTTAGTAAATACGGGAAGATTTTCTTTGCCTTTAGAATTACGGTCATTTTATATTGAAAATATGAAAGAATGTCCTTCGTTTCATAAAAAAGTTTGTTTTCAATATCTTCCTTGGTTATCGAGATATTTGCATATACGAATTTCAATACATTTCATTTTTAAGCAACTTTTAATCCTTAAATTAAACTGATGAAACCTGCAACATTTGCATAAGGCATATTTGTCTCAATCGATTTATTTTGGCCAACAGTATCTCCAGCATCGAAATTTTCCAACCTTAGTTTTATCTTGCAGTTCGTGTTACACCATTGAATTATGTTTAGGAAAGATAGAGGTATTGTCACGCAAATGCTTGTGTGTTTGGTTGTAAACAAGATGGCCTGTTTTTAACCAGATTATGCAGTTTGATGTCTTTTATCAAATTCTGTACTTCACGCGTTTTGTTGAAAATATGTACATGTCGCAATTTGAAGGCTCAACAATAATACTGTTTTGGTATATATCTATCGTTCTTTAATTTAATTTTTCATGTCTTCGCAAATTTTTTCTCCTTAATATTTTTTTGACATGATACTGCTCCCACATCAAAAATAAACTATCGTTTAGATTATCTATCGAAGTAAATGAAGACACACTCAAAAATAATCAAATCTAAAAGGATCAAGCTGTGAGCTTCCTATTAGAGTGATCTTAAATTAATATAAAAGATATCACCCCTTTGTTCTTGCAAATAACAAACTGGGAGATATAATTGAATTAAATGGGATCATCTGCGCTGGCATAAATAAACACTGTCTTTATGTTTTTACTGGTCAGGTCCACTTATAGCAACAGAAATTAATACACCTATTGAGAACTGCTGCAGTCGAAAGGGAATGACACTTCGTATTCTCACATGATACATCACAGCAAGGAAGCATCCTGATGTTGTCTATTACTGTGTAAAGTAATAATTCTCTGACATAATTAATTAATAATTTTTTCAGCAAGCCTCAGGAATCTTCAACCACTTAAAATCCACAGTGATGCTCTCAATCCAGCAAGATCCTACACCGGATTTGAATCCAGATACACTGGGAGCACTATCTCAATTGATGTTAGCACAGGCTCAACAAATATTCGTCCACAAAGCCATTCATGGTACGAAAATGTTTATAATCACTGTGTACTTATTAAAATATAAACTTTTCTGACATTTTAGACAACATGAAAGATTCAATAGTTGCGAAATTGGCCTCGCAGTGTGAAGACCTGTACGCAGAATGCCTCAAGGTATTCCAAAGGGAAAATTTGAAGCCTATATGGGACAAGGATTGGGTCCCTATAGTAAGTGTTTAAAATTGAAAGTGCTGATATCCTTAATAACGAATAAATCTTAGATTGCAGGTAAACAAGCAGCTTTGGGCGCAGTTGCTGAATTGTATCAAAGTCTAGTCTGCAAAGCCAACAAGAACATTGGCGAGGAAATTTCACGTCTTCAGGTACCTATGAATAAACGTCTAAGATTAATTTGCCTAAACGATAACATTTTAGCGTTCTACCGAGTTGTTTAAAGCTGCCCAATCGAGAGCAGGTAGGGCATTGTTTGAAGATTTGGCCTCCAAAGCTGAAAGGAACCTGACCGAGGCCAGGAAGGATAACGATTTTATCTACCATGAGAGGATTCCGGATATCAAGGCAGTCGATCCCATAGGAAAGGCACAACCGGCTAAAGTCCTTCAGTTGTCGCACCCAATGAGCCAGAACTTCAAAGGTGATTATATCCGATAAAACATTTTAAATTTTCAGCATTGGCAGTCATTTAAAACAGAACAGAACAGAAAGAGACTCAAAGATGATCCCTGAGGAACATCCGATGAAACATTGATTTTATTTACTTTTTCTCAGATCTGTTCAATGAATTGGTGCCCGTCCCAGTGCACCAAGCTTTGGCATCCTATGATTTGCGTAAAACTGAAATTGTCAACACGGAAATCACTAGATTAAGGGAGGCTACTCAGCAGTTGAATGGGCTGTTGGCAAGCCTGAATCTGCCGGCCGCTATTGAAGTTACTGGAGGGGGCAGCGACGTACCCCCCTCCATTCTGGAAAAGGCCAGCGTTGTTAGCTCAATGGGAGGCATTTCGGAAGTGGAGAGGATGATAACGGAGTTACCCGAGTTGCTCAAGAGGAACCAAGATATCTTAGATGAGGTAAGTTCAAAGTTCAGATTATCCGCATATATTTTATTTGTGTTCACTTTTCCATATTTTTCATGTTTTACAGAATTATTTTATATTAAGTTTCAACCTCTACAATTTTTTTTCTAATGGAATAAAGAAAACCTCTTAGGACTAAAAAAATATAGGCTTTTTTCTACCTCATCTTAAATATAGATTTAGGAACTTACTTCCAAATGAAAGACGTCTCTTTTTTGATGTCTTATTATTTCTTGTCCACAAATACTTCACAGATACAAATATTTCACCTTTGATATGGTGAAACTAAATGATCCGGTGTTGTGAAGTAAAAGTGGACGTAAAGTAATTGAAGTGAAGTATTTCTGGACATAAAATAGTGCCAATGAAAAATTACTCTAAATCAAAAATATTGCATAATGGAACGAAGCTCGACTCTTTTCCATATTTTCATATTATTCATGTTTTACAGGGTTACTTATATTAAGTTTCAACCTCTAGAAAAAATTATATTTTTTTAATGGAATAAAGAAAACCTCTAAGGATTAAAAAAAACTATAGGCTTTTGCCTACCTCATCTTAAATATAGCTTTAGGAACTTATTTCCAAATGAAAGACATCTCTTTTTTGATGTCTTATTATTTCATGTCCACAAATACTTCACAGACACAAATATTTCACCTTTGATACGGTGAAACTAAATGATCCAGTGTTGTGAAGTAAAAGTGGACGTAAAGTAATTGAAGTGAAGTATTTCTGGACATAAAATAGTACCACTGAAAAATGATTCTAAATCAAAAATATTGCTTAATGAAATGAAGCACGACTTTTAAGATCAACAGAAAAATGTAATACGCATCTTGACCAAAACCTACACATTGCGTAAAATTCATGTTTTTCCAAGTTATTGTGAAGTTACATCGATTAATCCTGTTGTAGACTGACAGGATGTTGAATGAGGAGAAATCCGCGGACGACGCCTTAAGGCAACAATTCAAAGAGAAGTGGACGAGGACCCCCTCTGACAAATTAACCGGTACATTCATTTCCAACGCGGCCAAATACAGGCAGATAATCAACAACGCTGTCCAAGCCGATAAGGTTGTCCGTGATAAATTCGAGACCCACAAGTACTTCATGGAACTGCTGAGCGCCGGTCCCGGTTCCATAGAGGCAGCTCTGCCCAGCGGAACTTCCGGAAATGTGGCCGATAGTTCGTCTGCGGCTACTTTGAGACAACTTATGGAGGAAGTAAGCGTTTGTTCGTCGTTTTTTTGAGACGATAGTTAAGTTTATTTTTTCAGGTTGAAACGGTGAAAGCGGAGAGGGAAGCGATCGAGTCCGAGTTGAAAAGCGCCACCACCGACATGAAGGATAAGTTCCTCTCGGCTTTGGCTAAGGACGGGGCTATAAACGAACCGGCTATTTCTTTTGAAATTTTAGGTCAGACGTACGGTTCCTTGCAGAAACAAGTCTCTGAGAGTATTGAGAAGCAGACTTTGCTGATTAACAGAATTAAGGTAAGGTCAAATATGTTTCAAAATTTTACAACTTTTATGGAATATTTTCGTCTGAAAGTTCTGAAACATTTATTGTAAACAGGTTGATTCAGAACTTGTACAAAAAAAATGTTTTTGACACTAACTACTAAAAAACTATTGTAAACACTATTGCAACGACGATTGTAAAACTGATCTGCAACGTTTATTGTAAGGTTGATTCAGAACTTATACAAAAAAAATGTTTTAATGTACAAGGGATTCTTACAAATACAATTTTGTAAAAAAAAATCAAAAAAGACTGTGAAAATGATTTAAAAATATACTTCTGCATGGCACTGGAAACTGATCCAGTGTAAAACCTACACAAGGCAAAGCATGCAGATGATGACCAACATGGTGGCAAAGTGTAATAGCATTAATTTGTGGTTTTAATTAATAAAATAATTTGACACTCGATGTTACAGCAACTGTTCAAAATTTTGTCCACTGACATGTAAAAACATTTGGGTCTGCCTTACTCAGTTTCTACGAACTAATACAAATGTTGTCTTGCTACTAAAAACCTATTGTAAATACTATTGCAATGACGATTGTAAAATCGGATTTCAGTATTCAGGGTCACTGAAGCCACTTAGCTCTCCACGCGTATTACGAATGATGCTAGAGACTACAGTTGTCCAGCTAATTAATGGTTGAAAGTATTACAACTTCAATAATTTTTTTCTTGGAAACTATATAGATGTTACAAAAAAATGTTCTACGATTTTGGTTCCATTTCTCATGCCGTATTTTTTTTGGATAAGTTGTGAATCATCCTGTATACAAGAAGTTTAACCACTCTTCGTAACTTTTTAGACTGATTTTAATGAACTTTGTTTACGTCTGTATTATCATTTCTGTTTTTTAATGACACAGCTTCAAAAAAAATTATACAGAACAAAAAACGGCTATTTTCCAGGAAAAGGAGGGAAAAATTGATCTCTTGTTTAAACCTCGAAGCTGTCCGGTATAAAAGAACGTCGAATAAAACTGTATTTCCTTTACAGGATTCTCATACTCAGTTCATGTCTGAGACCGGATCGACGACTGGCGGAAGAGAAAAGATGTTGAGCCAGCTCGCTTCCGCCCACGATATTTTCAGAGACCTCCAGAATAACTTGAAGGAGGGCACAAAGTTCTACAATGATCTAACTCAAGTGAGTAAGATTTCATCGCAACAAGACGTTTTTTAAAGGAAAACTGTTTGTAGATGCTGGTCACCTTCCAAAATAAAGTGACGGACTTCTGCTTCGCCAGAAAAACCGAGAAGGAGGAGCTGCTCAAAGACCTCACGCAAGCGTCCAGCAGGTCGGGTCCGGCTCCAACTCCTACCACCCCCAGCTATTACGGTACAGGTAAGAAGTGAAAGGAACTTTGGAGTGTTTTTCTCATTTCCAAAAAAGATATAAAAAAATTTGTTCAGATGTCCCAGGTTTGTTTTTTGGGAAAAGTTAAATAGTGAAAACCACACCTCGATATCTTCATTGCATAATTTACATTTCAAAAAACTCTTCGTTTCGGCCGTTTGTCACTTTAAGATCAAAAGTTTTCAAAACTTAACTTTTGAAATTTATTTACGAATTTTAGAAGAACGAATTAGATCATTTTTAGATGTGGAGCCCTTTATTTCAGCATGATGGAGCTCACTTTCCGCTTCGTAATAACTTAATTAACTTATTAACTTAATAGGAAATCACAGGCCAATTCAATGGCCACCACGATCCCCTGATTTATCCCCATTCGCCTATAGTGTTATAATTCCAGGTAGGAGTTGCAGCAAACAGTGTTGCAGGTTTTTTTATCTGTACTCCACATAGAATTGATGAATAATGCCAATCATGTAAAACTAATGGAGAATAGGATGAAACACAATTTGAACACTTTTCATAGTGAGCCTTTTTTGTGAAACATTTTCAGTTGCTCTAAATTTATTCGGTAAATATTAAAATTAATGTTTTAAAGATTGGTGGTTGCCTTTATAGCGAACGGCTTTCACTATTTTTTTTTCACTGTAAGTTTAATAATTAAAGAAGTTGTTTTGACTAATTTTTTTTTAATTTTTGTCTTAAATACTATGTGGTGTACATCATTTGAAAGGAATTTTGTGCAGATTTTAAAAAAACAAAGTTTGGGTTGTAACAAAAAACTGAAAAAAAAAAAAATACAACGTAAGAAGATTCGACATTAAAAAGATATAGAACATCAAAGAAAATGGACAAAATTGAAAGTTGTCTTGTATTTTTTAAAAGAATGTAGTCCATCTTTTAAGGAAATAGGAGCAACCCCCGAAATGTGTCAAATTTGGCCCACCCTGTACAAAAATTGGGAAAATATCAATAAAAATCTTTATTTTACAATTTTGAAAGGTTGCACACAAGCCAATTAGGCATTTACCTTTTGAATCAGTTTGTTACTTTTTTTAGAGCCAAAGAGGGAGGCTCCCGCAGCGCCAACCCCGTCTACACCTTCTGTCCCGAATCCCACTGCGCAAGTACCGACAACACTGCCTTATCCAGTGTATGTGCAGGGGATGCCCGTGCCATTTGGAGCTTCCAGCAGCGCTCCGTACCCAGCGTACGCTCCTCCGCCGATGCCGCAGGGTTACAACCCGTACGGTACTATGCCTTACCCAAGTAAGTTTATCGTTTGTCGATGATTACCACTACTACTAAACTATCTTTTACTAATTACTTTTCTATATACAGGCTGATTTTTAAGTTGAGACATTTTTTGTGTTCCGTTTTAAGTCAAGTTCTGTCCTATGCTGTGTACAAAAGACGAAAACAATGATTCACATTTTTATTTGCCGATACATATAAATTTTGTTGCGCCTGTTGTGATTTGTACCCAAATTACTGCAATGGCTCGTACTTATTAGGCCGGTCAAAATGTCGAAAATACCTCATTTTTTAGTTCAGTAAACAAAGGTGCAAAAATTTGGAAAAATTCCATAAAATTGAATGAACTATTTTACCGCAGCGGTGTGTTAGGGCTTCATTTTCAAAGTGGCGTCCAAAGTTCGCAAAAAACAGTTTTTTTTTATTTAAAAAAAAACTAAACATTTTAGAGAAAAATGTTGTAGACAAAAGTTGTAGAACTTTTTATAACAACAATTTTGAGCCGAGCCCGATGACACTTGATAAACAATAATTGTATTAGTTGTACGCGGGAGCGCAAATGGCTCCATCTGTTGTGCTGACTCCCAACTGTGCCATTCAAATGGCTACAGTAGGAAGCGACCTGCTATATTGCAGGTACTTGTTGCCACCCACAGAGGGCGAAGACAATGTTTTAATTGTCAGTGTTGCGAGAAACAACTACTCCATGGGCTATATGCCCCTACCGGCATTGAATTATACTCGCAACACCTAGTGCAACAGCTAGGATCGTTCGTCAGTTTAACCCACCAGGCACAGACCGGTTTCGGACTTATTAGTCCTCATCAGTGTGTCATAGGTGAGACAACCGACGAACGAACCAGCTGTTTTGCATCGTATCGTCATGACAAGGAAACATATTGTACGCAAATGGCTCCATCTGTCGTGCTGACTCCCAACTGTGCCATTCAATGTATTTCCTTGTCGTGACGATACGACGCAAAACGGCTGGTTCGTTCGTTGGTTGTCTCACCTATGGCACACTGATGAGGACTAATAAGTCCAAAACTAGTCTGTACCTGGTGGGTTTAAACTGACATCGACCCTACCTGTTGCACTAGGTGTTGAATGCTGGTAGGGGCATATAGCCCTCAGAGTAGTTGTTTCTCGCAACAGTGACAATTAAAACATTGTATTAGTTATTCCAAAAAAACGGCTAAAAATCGCATTTTTTAAAAACTTCTATATCTTTAAAATGAAAAAAGATTTTTTTTCCAAAACTTTCGGGATATGTAGTCCTTGGCAAGTACAATAAGTGCATTTTTGTAAAATTGCGTTATTCAAAAAAAATATAAAATTTTCCAAGTTTCAATAAATCATACAGTAATACGTGATCCATCTTCGGCTTAAAATTTTCTCTAAGAGTTGTACTTTCCTGTGCAAATTGTACGCATATTGCAAAATAATTGGAATTATGCGAAAAATCTATCGAAGTTCTTTTTTCGGGTCGCAAAATGTTAATTTTTTTCTTATCGTTGAAATTTAATGGCAATAGCATTTGAAAACTCACATTTTTGAAAGAATTTTAAAAAATGTCCTACGACCAACAGGAGCCAAGATTTTTTTTTTGTTTCAAAAAACGCTACGACCTCATTTATTAATATTAAGGTCTAAAATTTACACATGTTGTAGTTGAATACTTTTACTTTTTACCTTTTTATTACGGTAAACTTAATTTTGTTGGGCTCCGTAAAATGCTTCCTCCGCTCCACACAACGAATAATCGTTCAAAACTGAGCAGACACGCCGAGCACTAACTGAGAACGTTGAATCACAGTTTTTCTCCCCCCCACCACCATGCGCATCAACGTATCGAATGGAGCAAGCATTTTTTTATATTGAAGTAAAAGTATTCAACTACAACTTGTGTAAATTTCAGAGGTTAATATTAATAAATGACGTAGCGTTTTTTCGAAAACAAATGTTTTTCTAGATTCCTGTTGGTCGTAGGATAACATTTTTGTTTTAAATTCATGAAAAAATGCCAGCTTTTAAATGCAGTAAATAATGCCATTCCGATTACATTTTAATCATAAAAAAATGATCTACATTTTTCTACTCAAAAAAAGAAGTCAAAGTTTCAGTAGATTTTTTGCATAATTATTTTCAATTATTTTGCAAAATATACACAATTTGCTTAGAAAAGTACAACTCTTAGAGAAACTTTTAGGACCAAGATGGGTCACGCAAGTGCATTCCTGTGTGATTTAATGAAACTTAAAAAAAATGTATTTTTTTCGAAAAACTCAATTTTTGCAAAAACTATCGAATATCTTACAGTTTTACAAAAATGCACTTATTCTACTTGCCAAAGACCACACATTCTGAAAATTTCGTAAGAAAAATTTTTTTCGTTTTAAATGCAATTTTTAACGGTTTTTTTTTTTTTCAACAACTAAAACATTTGTTTATCAACCGACATCAGGCTGGGCTACAACTTTTGTATAAAACATTTTTTTCTAAACTGTTTAGTTTTTTTTAATGAAAAAAATACAGTTTTTTGGAATTTTGGACGCCATTTTGAAAATGAAGCTGAGGTAAAGTAGTTCATTAATTCTACGGAATCTTTCCTAGTTTTTATGTGTCTTTGTTTACTGAACGAAATTTTGGCACATGAAAATCTAATTTGATCGGACTATATTACAATAATAAACTAATGGATGTAAATATAAATTTACAAGGAGTGTAAACAAAGTGATAAGGGGGCATCACACATGCTTAACGTTTCCCTAACTGGGTTCTCCCTTTTGCTTGGAAATTTGTAAAAGTTCGCTTTACAGGTTCAAACAAGCCAAATGAAAGTTGTAAAAACTTTTTTATATGAAAATCAACGTGTTCAAGCTTGGACACTAGAAAATGGCTAAGTAAAATTGTATTTTGTGATTTTCAAAGCAACATAATCAAAACTTTTTTGGACCAATTTTACTGAGGGATGAATTCGTGTTCGTCCATCATGCTAATAATGTTTATAAAAACATATAAGTTTTGTGGACTGTAATTGTAATGAGAAATGTTATTTCTTCGTTTAACAGAAACGAGTTTTTATTTTTTAATTAATTTTTTTACAGAAAATGACTATCATAAAAATAATGACAAGACAAAGTAAAAAAGAAAAAGAAACTTACTTATTTACGTTTCTAACGTTCTTTTTATTATTGTATTTCTATGTACACTCAGTTCCCGTTCCAATTCTCAACAAATAATAATCACAAAACTAAACTCTCTCAATTTTATGTATGTGGTTATTGCAAAACGGGGATGACGGTTTTATTTAAGTGTGAAATGCAAAAATTTTTATGTCAACAGATTCATAATGGGTAGGTCAGTCATGATGGATCTGTTGCTCGCTGGCCGAGATCCTTGAGTCTAAACCCTTTGAAGTTTTTCTTGTGGGGATTGATGAAAAGTTGTATTGAAACCCTGGTTAAGAAACGTATTTTTTGAAATTACGACATTAAAAACAGATCTTGTTTCATTACTATCCAAAAAATTTATTACCTTTTGCAATAAATGTCTCTACGTTAAAATCATCCTGTATAATAAGGTTTTCACGTTTTCTTTAGTATATTAAAAAAGTAATGATTAATTTCCTCTAATCGAAAAGAACGTATGATATCCTTCAAAATTGACTTGACAAATTGTAAGTTTACAACTGAATTAACAAAAATTGTAATTTATGACATGCTGAACATGGCACAGCCCTCTTACTGATCCTCGAGGCAGTCTTGCACTGTTCTAAAGTAGCAAATACAAATTAATCAGTGACTAACTCGTTTTCACATTCATCTCATTCATTTTTCCAGTTAGTACTCCCAATAGATTTCTGCACGAATCGATGCATATCAGATGACTGCACCCACAATTTCAGTATCACTGCATTCTCTATTCCTTCAACATCGTCTCCTGCTTCAGATTCTTCCATTGTACGACTTTCATAGGTACCATTTGTTTTTCTGTATGTCCTCTCATTTTTTTTATATGTTTATGTGTTTATTCCATTATCTTTCTTTCTTTATTTTTTGTTTTATCTTTTTTATGTCTATCTTGTCGTTTGTTGTAGTTTTAATGTATTTAATTAATTATTGTTGTTAATTAATAGTTAAAAAAATATTCTGAATGTCTTCAATGTTAATTTAATGGTAACAAAGGTTACAAAAAAGTAGATCAAGCATCCGCAGATTATTTCTGCGAAAATAATGGCACTTATGTCATTTTTAATCTGAGTATCTCATTTCCAAAGTACAGGGTGTGAGAGTTGAAATTAAAGAAATGGCTTTTATTCATAACTCCCCTATTTTTTTTTAACTTTTATCTTAAACCAGCACATTTTTTAAATTATTTTGGTTAAAAAAAATTGTGAATGTTTCTTTTTTCTATATCAAACATCTAATCTATAACTTCCTGAAAACACAAATCATGAGTAGTAAATGTCAATTTTTCACACTTCAAGAGTATTTTATTTAACGCTTCCGTCTGTTCATGCTTTTGATTTGTTGTATCAAAATTACACAAAAAATATGCTGGCATAAAATAAAATTAGAACTGACTCCTTAAAAATAATGGAGTTATTAAGTATTTTTTTTATTTTAATTAATTGTAATTTTGATGCCCTGTACGATGATATGGTGGCAAACAAGTGCTCTGTGGGCTACAGCTTTATTTAAAAAAATCTCCCCCAACTAAAAAATGCCTTAGTCTGAAGAATCTATGGTTAACGGCTTGACCTACTTTATTGTAATACCCTGTAGATCCAAAAAAAATATATTCTCAGTAGTAATTTTCGAAAATTTATACATTTTGTTTTTTTTTGTAATGTTCAAAGAAATCTAAAAATCCTCAGATACAGAACAAATACTTAATTGAAAGGCTAAAACAGTTTTTCAGCCTCCTAGTGATCCAGACTTTAGTCTACTTAAACATAGCGGATTTACTTCAATCGGTCTTTTGTTATGCTTATACAAACTTTATTTTTGCGATATAATATATTGGATATCCACATATGGTATTTTACAAAAATTGCACTGATTCTTTTTTAAAACAGTAAATAATTATCCTTTGAACATGTTTTAGCAATAAAAACAATTATTGATAACTATAAATGTTCATTTGAAAGGAATTATTTAGATAGAAGGGAAAAATTGGTAATTTTTGTCATTTATGGTCACTGACCTCATCCATTTGTAGTAAATGACATCAACATCACTAAAAATTGGTCAGTATTTAATTAATTTCAAATATTTGATGGTCCAATTTGGGAACTGACTGTCATCACTGATAATTTTTTTTATTAAAAGGGCTCTATAGCAAATAAACAACCAGCGATACATTTTTATAGATTTTATTACACGGTTTGTCTAAATATGAATTAATGCACAAATAACAGACTTTCCTCCATTCTAACACAGATTTTTTATAAAGTGGAGTTGGTTTGAAACTCAAATAAATTTTTATTGCAAAGAAATTTGTAATTTGCGGCATTCGAACTTTTTAAATTACAAATTTCATTACACACAAAAAAGTAATTTGAGATTCAAACCAAGTCAATTTTATAAAAAATCTGCACTAAAATGGGGGAAAGTATGTTATTTGTACATTAATTCATACAGGGTGGTCCTGAGGTAATAGGCCAAAATTCACGGGTAGATTCCTGAAGCAAAAATATTGTGATTTAGTCGAATTTACTTTAGTTCAAAAGTTAACAGTTAAAGAGATATAGGGTGTTAAATGTAAAATATTATTTTGTTTTTTTTTTTTTCATTTATCCTTAACAAATGCAAATATCCTCTCAAAATTTTGGGGTTTGGATTTCTTTGGGTAGAGGAATTGATATCTGTTCACGTTTTGGTTAAAGTTCATAAATGGTGGTAGCTGCAGTAGTTTGAGTGTGTTAAAAACGACACAACTTTTTTATATTTTAAGGTATCTCATCTTTGGTATCAAATTCTTATTTTCCAACTTTTTTTACACAAAAAAAGGCATACTTTATGAAAATAGCTATCTCGCACCGTTTTCGAGATATTTGGCTTTGAAACTTTTAAACTAAGGTAAATTCGGATAAATTGCAATATTTTTGCTTCGGGAATCTACCTATGAATTTTGGCCCATTACCTCGAGACTACCCTATATTTAGACAAACTGTGTAATAAAATCAATAAAAATGTATTGCTGGTTGCCTATTTGCTATAGAGCCCTCTTAAATAATTTTATTTTATGGTCACTGACTTTGGTCGTTTTTTAATGTGTCCCATCAATTATAGTTTTTGACTTTGGTAATAATTTTTGGCAACCGCCGTCTATAAAAATTAATTATTCGATTGTCATTTCCCAACGTGACCACTCACTTACGATCATTGACTCTGGTTGCTTTTGATAAGTGACCACCATCACAACTTGTGAATCGCACCATAATTTCCTTTTTACCGTTGAACTTTCTTTGCAGCATCTTATCAATTCCCGCAAGGTCCTCAAGGGTATCAGGGCCATCCAGTCAGCGGATACCCGCAGCCCGGTCAGCCAGGCCAGCCGGGGTATCCCAATCAACCGGGCGGTTATCCAAACTGCCCTCCCGGAACTTTCCCACCGGGATCTTATCCATCCAACCCTAACCCATGGTAAATCCGAATACGATAAAACTACTGTCCCTTATAATTAGCGTTATCGGTTTTTATGTGACCAGATTTTAGGCGAAGGTTAATTTCATTTTTGATAGGGGAATACCGTAACAACCATTAAGCAAAAAGTAACACGAATAAAATGAGAAAGTAATAATATACGGCCTTATAATATTGTGATATGATTTGGGGGGGTTTCTACGCAAAAGTCTGAGTGTGTCTATCTGGTCATGTAAGAATTAGGTTTATTTTAGATAGATGCTATTACCTATTATGAATATTATCATTATTATTATATCAAGTCGTAAGTAGTTACGTGTATACTTTTATCCAACTAAAAAAATTATGTGGTTACTGAAATTTTTGTAAATCGTTTACTATATTGTTAATTTTTTAATGTTGAATATTTTTGTATGATTATGTACTGCGGCACGGGCTCGTGCCTATTTAAATATAAATATTATATTAAGTATGCCTAATAAAGCAAATTGCGTTTCATTGAGAATGTCGTAACCTTTCCGTTCCCAATTTTGTTTTCAGCAAAATTGTTTTTGAATAACCTGTTACTATATCAATTCTACAGGACGTTTCATGATGGACAGCACGTACCGCTATGGGTGGAGCAAAGTGAATATGGAACGGCGACAAAAATTCTAGGGCAGAAACGATGTAATATTGAATTACATTGGCATTTTTAGTTATCAAAAAGTGAGTTCAATGAAAATTTAACCGAACTCAAAATTTCAATCAAAGTAATTTTTTTTATTTTTAATTTATTTAATATTTTGTTTTGTTTCTATTCTTTTATTGATTTAATTTTTTAATTTCTTTTTTTCACCTTAATTTTTATTTCTTCAGCCTTTTTTTTTTTCTAAAATATTTTTAGCTTTTTTATCTTTGTTATTTTTTTACCAGGTAGAAATCAAGAAGTGGTGTTTGAAATTAAAAATTTATTTATCTTAAAAACCAAAAGTGTTGCGAGAGTTTGAATTCCCCACAATAAAGTTGCGTAACAAAATCAGTTTAAGAGGGCTCTATAGCAAATAGGCAACCAGTAATACATTTTTTATAGATTTTATTACACAGTTTGTCTAAATATGAATTAATGCACATATAACAGACTTTCCCCCATTCTAACACAGATTTTCTATAAAATGGACTTTGTTTGAATGTCAAATTACTTATTGTTGGAAAGAAATTTGTAATTTTGAACAAGCGGCATCGGAAATTACAAATTTCTTTACAACAATAAGTAATTTAAGTTTCAAACCAAGTCCATTTTATAGAAAATCTGCGTTAGAATGGGGGAAAGTCTGTTATTTGTGCATTAATTCATATTTAGACAAACTATCTAATAGAATCTATAAAAATGTATTGGTGGTTGCCTATTTGCTATAGAGCCACTTTTCGTTTTGTATTAAAAAACATAAAAAAATTTGGAACATTGTTTTTTTGTCGATAACTTCAAAACTAAAAAAATTCTGTTTGGCTTTTAGTCACCAAATATCACAACTGTCCTCTAATTTCACCGACCTTGAACCTCTTAAAATAACTAAAACAACCTATATATTTACAATTTTTTCCTTTTTTTTCATAATAAGGTAATCAGGTAGGTACTATTTTATACCAGGTATTATTTAAGTATGTGGCCAAACTTCAAGAGGTGATTCTAAGACGAAAAATTTATATAAACGTAGGTCTGGTAATGCTTTGTTTTCAAGAAAAAACTTATCAAACTTTTTTAAAAAATTGCGTTGTTTATGGTGGAAAGGGGCTAATTTAGCCCTAACTATATTAAAATTATTAAGTCCAGTGGCGTCCCGGGGCTCACCTTAACCTATATTTTTGCCAAAAAAATAAAAAATGTGCGCTACTGACTTAAAAATTATAATTTTCTCATCATTAAGCAACTAAAAATACAAATTTGTTTTCGTATCTTGCTTCCTTTTCAGGGAAAAAAAATTAAAATTATATCAATATTTAAGGTTTTTTCAGGAAGTCATAGGAATAATTAATTTACATATCTTATATACTTAATACTTAATTGTTATAAACAAAGTAGCTGTGATTTTTTTTTAAAGTGTCTAACTTTGACCCAAATTTAGTTAGAGCATCTTTTTCTTTTTTTAATTTGTGTAAAAATTCCAGTTTTACCTATATGGAAAAATAATCTCTAAATATACTGGCAACAAATTTATTCTAATTGTTTATAAGACAAAAATTACAGTGTTTTTGTGGTATGTTTTTGCAGTGGTAAAAAACAATTTTTTGCAATAAAATTATTTCTTCCAATAAAAGAAGTGTTTCTCTTTCATATGACACCCGCAGAATTAAAATATCTTGGTAATTTTGCGTGTCAAGTTATTGCAAAAATAATGCCTGGGATAAACATTTAGAATTTTGCAAAAACTATAGGATGAATCGGACACTGAAATTTTAATCACATATTAAGGACTATAAAAGCCAACTATTTGTGCAATATCAAAGCTTTTTATTTTTTTACTGTTTTTAAACAAATATATTGTTCTCAGTTAATTTCTTTTGGCACTTTTACTTAAACATTGACCCACTGTGCATTCAGATAATAAAAAGATATATTTTGCAATTATAAAATATTTTTGCATTGACGTTTTATTTCTCTAAATTTTGTACATTTTTTCTGAAAAAAGATATGGTCACCGTTATGCACCTTCGTATAGACAAAAAATATTTGCATTGTACTGCATATAGGTACATTTTTGTTGCATGTTGCATATGGCGTGAAGTGACAGCGTTGGGTCAAGTGTAAAAGCATAGTCCAGCATTGCAATTAAATTCATAAAGATTTACCCTTTTCTTCTCTTTCCATAAGCACCAGTCCACAATCAACAATCTGTATTTGGCTAAAATTTAAAAAAATTGTAAAATTTTACTACTGTATAAAATAAGTTTTTTGTTAAATACTAATTTTAACTATTTTAAGCAATATTTTTTCAGTTACTTACATTAAAACTATGTATAAAAATTCTGTAGTTTTATATGGATAAATAAAGGAATGTATTATTATTATTATTATTATTATTATTGCTTTTTTATTTACTAGAAAGAGAATATTTCTATTTTTATTTGATTATTTGTTAAAAGATAATTATATAATGCTATTAACATCAATTTTATTGAAAATTTAGCCGCATCTGAACGAAAAAAAAAATAATAAATCAACCCCTGCACATAAGGGGTCATACAAAAAACCACACAGAAAAGCATAGAATTTCAAACATTATTTAATATTCATTATTGTTCTTCCAAAAAAATAATTTATTTTTCAGAAAACAATATATGCCTATATAGGTATGGTGTTTACGAAGATAGTTGAAACCGTATAAAAACTAAAAGTCGGCATCTCTTTATTGTGCCCGGGCGCAATTATCTACTGTTCATTATGCTCTTCCAAGTTAATTTCTTTTTCAGAAAACAAACCTAGGTATGGTAGGGCTGTATTTATTATTTATTTATTACTTTAAGTATTTCTTACTGATATGGTAACATATTATGGTATATAATGATCTATTTGACAAACCTAGACCTAGACGTATTTCCTTAGTTCCGTCATATATTTTATTTTTCAATTATGAGAGCATTTCGTGACTGCGAAATATATTCAGTCACGGCGAAACGAAGTCAAAAATTAAAATATGTTTTACAGTTATCTATAAGCCATACAATTTTAATGGTTAAGTTTGATACTGGCTCCATCTGGACTAGAAGCTCCAAACATTCATATTTGTTGTTCTCTTTGGTGCGTATCTCTACTAATGACATTTAAATAAATGGCTACCAAAGAAATAATTTCACAAAAATCTAGACATTGCTGGTAATACTGCATAATTTAGTCTAATATTTTGCAGGTCAGTTCCTCAAATCTGTACGAAGGAGATGTAAAATTATAATAAAGATCTATGACATAAAATTTCAATTTGTTATTATACTTTATCCATAACTTCAATAATACAAATTATTTTGCAATAAAAAATATGTCAACTCCTAGCTCAATACCTTATCTATATAGGCCACATATAATTTTCTCAGAAAATAGTGTAATTTTTGAAAAGACTATGCTTGGGTGAAGGTCTGTTTTCAGAAAATATCTTTATTCCCCTCTTAACGCATGTCCATGGACAACAGCAAAAAACATTTTTTAATAATTAATAAAACAAAAATTTTTTTTAGCTATCATTAATTTTAATAATAGACTGGAATAGACTATTGATATGAAAAAAAAAATAACAGGTACCCACAGTTTTTGATAGTTTTAATTTTTTACTGTTGTCCCAGGGACATGCAATAAACTGATTTTTTTTTTCTTCAAAAAGCAATATAAAAAAAATTCAAAAAACAAAAAAATTGTATTTTTAGCTACTTAATGCGAAAAAAATATAAAAGTTTTTAAAAAAGTTAAGCTGCCCCCGGGACGCCACTGAACTTTATAATTTTAATCTAGTTAGGGCTAAATTAGCCCTTTCTAACATAAATAGTATTGCCAAATTTAAAAAAAAGCGGCTAAATAAGATTTTTACGAAAAAACAATTTTTGAATCTTGAAAACGAAGCATTCTGGACCTATGTTTATAAATTTTTCATCTTTGAATCACTCTTTGAAATTTGGCCACGTACTTAAATAACACCCTGTATATTACAAAATTTGAATTTTTCGTAAAGTTAAAAATTAAGAAGTTTGAAAATTGGGATGTTTAAATGCAAGAAAAAATTTAATTGTGAAAAAATAAAAGAAATCTGACCATCCGTATGTAGAAGTTTTTGGACATATTGTGGTCTTTATGAAGAATTGGGACATACAACCAAAATGCATTTGGGATGCACCAACTGCAATGATTCAAGTCCACAGTCTACAGCGAAAACGTTTTTCAACAAAACGAAACAATTTTTTGGTTATCAAAAATCTACTGCAGCCTTCATCGGTATTATTTAAAGCCACAGTTCTCAAATTTCACCAATTTGTAATACTCCATAATTTTTATACAGGGTGTAAGAAGTTTGACTGCCATTACTTCAGTATGAGTTAGAGTAATCATAAATGAACAGAATATGTAGTTGTATATTACACACTTGTCCTACGGAAAAAATGTAAACAACTATAATTGTGAAACATTTAGTGAATTTCAAGACAATTGTTTTCAAGTTGTATAAAATGTATCGATTTTGTAGTACAAAGATAATGTGCTTAAATTTTAGCGTTAAATTATGAATCTCTTAAAACAGGAACTTGAATTTTTGATCAAATTATAAATTTGAAAAATATGTAATTAAAGTACCCAGAGATTCACGTCATCCAAATAATCATACGTATTAAAAATAATTTTGGGTACTTACCAAAAAGCAAAATTCAGTAATTTTTAAACGCACAAGTACAAAACAAACTACAACATGCTCAAAATGTCTTTCACCATTTTCGATACACTCACGACACCTTTGAATCCAATTTTCGTGCACTCGCTGGAAAACATCTCAAGAAAAGTGGTACGCAAAAAACACTCAGACACGATCCAATTCTAGATACCAACTGAATTGCATTAATGCCGGATAGCTTAGTACCCCGTGTTATCCACTGCACCATTGTCACATTGCTCGATATGAATTTTAAATTACGCTATTATTTTTTACAATTAAGCTTAAAGAAGTTAAAAAAAAGGTGATAAACATTTAATTTTAATGTATTCTATCGTCTGTTAAAATGAAGGCAGTCAAACTTCTAACACCTTGTATACTTAATATTATTAACTTGTAAAGTTGCTGTTGCAGTTTGAAAATCGAGGCTTTAGAAGTGTTTGCAGATGAAAAATTAGCTTATTGACGACACTGCCGATTCTACTTCGTAAATACTACTGGTATTCTGTTGTCACGGCTCTATTGAAATATTTTAAACTAGCAGGTTTAGAATGGAAGGAAAGAATACAACAAAACAAGAATATAACATCATATATTTTGATTCAAGTCATGAATAGACACATTTGAAATATATTTAACAGACTCTTAATCCGAAAAACCTGCCCTTCTATATTTTTTTTATAAAAATAAGTTGTCTTTTAAATTACACATTGAGCATTTTCGAATTTCCTACAGAGGTGTTTTGAAAAGAAGTTTAATTGAAAGCAACCTAAAAAAAAATTACTTATTCGTAGATTTGAATTTTCACGGGCAGGCGTTGAATTACGCAAAAATGTATGTTTTATAATTAATTACAAAATTGTATTTCCGAATGCTTCCGGTATATGTCCCTACAATATGATGTCCCAAATTTTCTCCGTAAAACTATAAAATTTCCCTTTGTCGTTATTTTACATTAAGATTTATAAAATATTTAAACCATTAGTTAAATTAGATATATAAAACTAAAAGAGTCTATTGTCTAACTATGTATCACTCTCTACATACTTATCAGTTATTCAGTTTGTACCATGCATCCAGACAAATCAAAAAATCACTTGGTGTTCCCGTCGACACTGATTGGTACCACAGATACTACCACATCGACGAGTCGGTCCCGTCCGGAGGCACAGTGTCCTATAAAATCCTGTATATTAACCATCTTATTTTCAGAAGTGGGATATGAAACTAAATTAAGAAAATTTAATAATTTTCAGCAGTTTCAAAATTTTATTATACAAATCCCGCTTCTGATTTCGCAAAACACTACCTGATTGTTCTCTAGATGAGACCTCTGCGAAACGAAAGGATTATGTGCGGGTATAGACGGCGGAGGAGCACCGAGTTCATTAAAATGTGACAGTTGCTGAGTTAAAGCTATTGTACCCTCCTCGACGACGGTCACGATAGCCCACATCGGATCTGAAATTAATCAGTCACAGTATTTCCATTATTCCGAGTTGCGATTTAACCTCACCTCCGAAATAAGCACCTTTCGGTGTACATAGCCTCCATTTACTTTGATACGTCCCCGGCAGTGATGGACCCATCATGTTTACCGATAAATGCATTCCTTCTCCGGGCTGGAGGCAAGGCACTGGCACTTTATTTCCTCCCATTTTGTTGCCGTCCGAACATTGCGCGTAGCACCCCGCCGGCCAGGTTTCAGTACCGTTGTTGCATATGTGCCAGGTCTTCTGGAATCTGAAATTTGGAAATAAATTACAGGATGCCGCAATAAAAAAATATTGTTTATGTTGTTGAATATAATGTGAAAAATATTCATAAAAATGCGTACCCTACGTTAGGTTCTATACTTTCCGTCTCATTCGCCAACGGATTTGACACAAGAGCCATAGATGGTAGCTGATTAGTTGATTCGATATCTAAATATGAGCAAATTGCGGCTTGTAGATTCCTTAAAAATAAATATGTTAGCATTGTATTATCATAAATCATCAAATAGAAAAATTCATATCGGTAACAGTGAAAAAATATAGATTTCTGAATCTGTGTGCTGAATCCATCAAAAATAGTTACTTCTTCGTACATTTCTTGCATTTTACGTGCAATATTATGTAACCAAATATGAAAACTATCAAATAGCACAAAATACAAGAAGGACTGAGTAGCACAGTATACAAAATTACAGATATATAGGTTGTTTATGATTATATGTTGCACAACTTTTTTATTATTCATATCAAATCAAAAAATAAAACCAAAAAACAAGTACTACACAAAAATATTCAAAAAGTCTTGAAATTAGTACTTTAATACCTAAAACTAAAAAAAATATTACACTATAGTGAATATACCATTTACGTAATATTTAATGAGATAATAAAATAATTATGTATATTCTTTTAAAATGTAAATTTAATTTCTGCCGGCCAAATTTAGTTTTTCGATCAAAATATTCTTTGACCAACTATAAAGTAACATTGATGAGTTTTCCACAATTCGATGGCGTCGTTATTTACTTATTTTTTATATGAAACAACCAGAATTACAACACTTTAGGTAGAACACTATAATACACTGTTTATTAACACATTACTTGGAATTAGCGCTTATTAAACCAGCAACAGTTTATAAAACAAGATATGTATCTTAAGGTCATATTTCGATTGCTTATCTGATGACTTGGGATATTAAAATATTCAGAATAAATAAATCCACTGCATCCAAACACTAAACACCTGGATGTAGTTATACTAAAAGATAAAGTCGCAATACCAATTGTTCATATCCAGAAAAAATGCAGCTGTTGTGTAGTTTAGATGACTACCCAGCAATTTCTGCAACTGCTGTACCAGTTCTTCTTTATCTGTGGTGCCCATGCAGCTAAACTGTTGCAGGAGGGACTGTTCTATATCTATTCCCCCAGTTACAGGCCCTTCAGAGGGTCCATTGTCAACGTCCATTTTTACACGATTAGAAATAGGTTTCCGCAAAATCTAGAAAGAAAAATAGAACTATCACTATTACCAAGTGGGTATGACAGGCAAACAGATCAATGTCAAAATTTAACCTTTACACATTAACTTGTGAAGGCAGTTAACTAATTAATTTCTTATATACAAATTACTTCAAACTAATTGCAACTTACACGATGATTCTTTATTTTTATCACACGCTTATGTTTTGACAGATTAACATGACATATTTTTACGACGATTTTGTACGAACTTTTTGTTCATCCACAACCTCAATTCTCAGAAATATCGTAGCCCGTGCCCTCTGTTGGCAAGTGTTCGCATTAACTGGTAGTGTAAAAAGTTAACTGTACATCAGCACTTTTCAATAGTTGATTTTGTAACTGTTAAGAAGATGGCGCGCATATCTATGAGGTCATTGGATCTAAGAATAATTAATGAATAATATTTTGTATGGACAAAACACAGTTATTATGTGTAAATTTATTGGTGAAAAATTAAAAAATATAAAATCTAGAAGTAAATTTCTTTAAGTAACTGAAATTAATTATTGGCAACCATATATACACGGTCTTGTATACTGTGTTGCAGATCTAGTATAAAATCAATGAAGACCGATATTTTTAAATTAGTGGAAAATAAGAGGGCAACTTCTGCAAAATATGGAAAATTTTGCCATCAATGCCTCCTCCAAAATATTGAAAATGTAAGTTTTTCACTGGTGTAAAATATAGAAGGAATTAGTTAATATATCCTGTTCAGAAGAAACAATCCTTATAATGTGCTTTTACTGCCAACATTAAAAGTTATACAGTGTGTTTTGGTATTTCACTGATATAATTGCGATTCTGATTATTTAAAACTTCAATGCATAATATAAAAAAGTAACAGTGAATAACAAATTCAATGAATTTTATCAAAGCAATTAAAAATACGCAAAATATCACGAAATCAAAAAGTTACAGAATTAAATAAAAGCTACCTTTTCTCAAAAGATCACAATTTACAAAAAAAAAAATGGGAGAGTCTAATGGATGATTTTTTTTCTAAAATGCACTTGAACTTTTGTCTATGCCGATTGTATGTGAAAGTGCAAAATCAAATTTGTTAAAACAGATTTTTTTATACAATCTTCAGAGATATCGTTTTATATTCTTTATTATGTCAATGTGGACGAGGTACTTAACTTTAAAAAATGCTAGATTGTTTTAAAAAAATTCAAATTGTTTTTCATGATTTATTAAATAATTACAGATGGGCACATTAGGGTGGCCCAAAAAAAAGATTTTTTTTTCGTGCCTCTTGTGAAAATATGTTAGTTTATCATCAAAAAATCAGCTTTAAAAAATTTCTTTTACAGGTCGCTCAAAATTTTTAAAAATTTCTAAAATCAAAAATTATATTTTTTTTTAATTTTTTTTTTCGTTATTTTATCATTTTCCAGGTTGAAAAAAATCTCGATTCTGAAAATTTCAAATCAGGTGTATTGAGATTATGTAATTCACCTAAAATAGGTCTGTGTTAGAGGTTATTGATAGACATTCGCAAACTAAACACAGTGCTTCAAAAAATAATAAATACTTTTTATAAAAAATTTAAAAAAATAATACATTTTCAG